ATTATATTTTTTGGTCATTTTTTTTTTGTTTTTATTAAAAATCTCCCAACACTTTTTTTTTTTTTTTTTTTTTTTTTTTTTTTTTTTTTTTTACGAAACCCCCCCCCCCCCCCCCCCCCCCCCCCAAAAAAAAAAAAAAAAAGGCTGCTTACCTCTGTTAATAAACTGAGTTGTCTTGTTTTAACGTAGACCAGGCTGCCAGGTAGTCATTCCTAACAACGGACCATAATTGATCATATATTCGTACACTATATATAGGTCACATCATATTGAAATTTTCATTTTGATCCAGCTCTAAACTACCTTAGTACCTGTTATTGGAAGTGCATGCATAGAATGGCTGATGGAAAGTTAGCTAATATCATTGTTTTAGGCATGTTTTCACGAAAATGACTCAGGATGTATACCATACGCCTCGATCAAACATCTAACCTCGTTGGATCAGAAGCAAATAAGCATATTTATATTGAAATATAAAAAGTGAGAACCATTTTATCAGCACTGACTATAGCATCTTCCCGTTTCCATGCTATAAGAGTTATGTTTGTTGAACTATCTCACCATCTGTCAGAATTCTAGATGAGACATCTAGAACAAAGGACATGTTCAGTATGTATAGACACAGGCTCCCGTAGATAGATTAGAGTTCCTCGCGCAACAACTTTGTTATTTCCCTACTGTTTAGTTCTACCTCGTGACACCATCTACTGTCTTGGAATTCCTCAGGTTGTATTTCTGACCTCGTTCTTTTCAGATGCAGCTAAGTTTGAGGCTGAATTATAGAGCTGTACTTATTTCTGAGAGAATCACTTATGCTATTTATAATGACAAGGCACTGATAATACTGAGTCTACCTAGTGATAAGCATGCCTTTGGTACCTAGCATATTCTACTTCGCGTTCTGAAATTATTGATACCTCTCAACACTATACAAGTATAATGGCTACGAGAATGTGTATCAGGAAAGCACTTAGTAACTTTTTCTTTTACTATTTGATATTCTCGTTCCTCAGCCCATAACGAAACATCCGGCAACGAAAACGAGCACATAAGACAAACAAATTTATATATTTAAATAAATACCTGCTACCTTATGATGCATTTTGGAAACGAAATTTTGTCTACCCGGTAATCATGCTCTGAAATTAAATTATAGGCAAAAGTGATATTATGTTGATATAAATGTGATGAAACCAATGAACGCCCCATTATCGAGCCGACAGACTTTGATATGACGTTTGACGATGGGACCGGCCCATCTCGTGTTGTACAATAACAATACACTCTTACTTTAGAGTCTTATGGTTTCAATCATATCGGATTCTATGATAAATCATAGTTAGTATTGACGCGCTACGGAGTAAGGGGCTCTTATTTCAACTATGTTGTTTTCCGGGCTAAATGCCAGGTATGTAGGTAGGTACTTACTTCGTATTATACCGTTCACCTCCCAATCCAGTAAGTCGGGAGGACCCCCTGTCTAGCAATCGCTTCTGCAATCTGCGCGTCTGTCATGCTCTCTTGGCCATTGATAGCGTACCAAGGGGAGTCGTGGAGCAGATAATAAGCCTGACCGACCGGGACGTCAACGCTAGAGGCGACGATAACTCCGGGCTCGTCCGTCCGCATCCGCGCTAGCTGGGCCCATAGGGTAGTCCGTTGAGCAGCGTCGAGTTCACGTGCCAGATGAAATACCGGGGTATAGGAGCGGTCGGATCGGGCCGTGAACTTGGCCCGGAATGTCGGTGTTCCGTCGATCGGCCGTAGATGCTTGCCCCCTAGGGTAAAATATCCGGCGCAGTTGCTGCAAGGCTCGCCACGCCTTAAAAGCATAGCGTCGACAATTGGATATGACCCCGGCGAGTCAAATGCTTGAAAGTACGATAGTAGCATGTTTTCCTCGGCGTGCGGATGGTGTCCGCCGTCCCCCGTTCCCGCCATCGCCGTCCAAAGATCTGCTTCTCCGTCCGCAAAGAGTAAGGATGCCGACAAGTCGACCTGGTCGCTAGTGCGGAGGCCGCTGCGCACAAATTGGTACAGAGCACCTACCAACCCAAGCTGTGCATAGTTCAGGCGTACTGCATGTCCACTGGCGTTCTTGATGCGGAAGCTAGGAAGCTCGACAAATATGAATTGGGGCATGGCGTCGAACGGTTAGCGGCACGGGATATTATGGCTATTATATGATTAAGTAGAGAGGAGCTCTGCCGAACGAGACTATATGAAGGGAGGCTTAGAGAGGACTGTCCTAGATGATATAGAATGGGGACTTTCAACTTGATTATCGATGGCGTAGAGTCCGGTGATAGATATAGGAGATCGATCATCCCATGCTGAACGACCATTGCCGGGAGATAGGCGAACTGATGCCTAGTGCCTGGTACCTGCTTCTTCGTAGCGAGTACAATTTTCTAGTTCGTAGCATTCCTCACGGGAATGATTCACACGCCATAATGTGAATCAGATGGCAATGTATCAAGAGTCACTGCTGACCCGCGGTAATCGAAAGCACACCTGTGACGAATGGGGAAGCTCCTATGGACAGCGACGAGGTTGATAAGTTCACGAGAGGGAGAGGGGCACACGGGAAGGGCTAGTCAGGGGAAAGATAGATACCCATACCGCGAATAGGCTATTGCAAGGTTGGTATATGTATTCTCCGGGACAGGCATCCAAGATCTCCCGATCGCCATAGATTCCGCTAGGGAGTTGCTCATATCTTCACCCACGTTTCAGCTTCTTCGGTAGCTGGCTTCCTTTAAAGGTAAGCTGACGCAAATTCGACCGTGACGTCTTTGAACGCGGCCCTGAATGAGGCTGATAATGATCGGGAAGCTGCTTACCGTGCAGCATGCAAGCCATAGTAAGGCTGACCCAGCAACCTGGTAATACATCTCGGACGTTTACTTTTTGTCTTAATCATCTTGGTCGTTATGCTGATATACTAGCACCACCCGTGAATTCTCGATACGTAAGTGCCCTTGGCTAGGGCTTGACATCATCGAGCCCCCCCTCCCCTCCCCCCGAAGTTCGCGATAGAGTAAAAGCTCAGGTCGGGAGTTGCTTCACCGTACACGCGCCGAGCGGGATTCTAGCGTGGACACGTTGATACTACATAGCAAGGTCAAGATATGCCAACACGAGGTTATGTAGAGTGGATAGGGTACTGACTTGCTATGGAACCCATGGAGATTCGGTTCTACTTTGGGGTTATCCCGGGTTCTGGGTATTTGATAGACGGGCTTGATGGGCATCCGACTCGTCGACTGTTGAAGTTTCAAATTGAAGCTCGTAACGGGTATGCATATGACTAGGACTCAACCATTTCGTGTCTAAATTTGGGCTGGTCGGTTTTGACGAGTAGTTGCTCTCGGCCGGCGTTCTGCTCAGATAGTAGGACAAGGGGATATATGCGGCTACGTGGCGGGAGCGCAACGAGGCCGAAGATCCAGACTCGAACAAGTCCCGTGAACCGTGCAGAACCCTGTCGCAAGATCACCAACTAAACAGACCGGGGAACGAGACTATTCCCCGTATAGCCTGCATAAACCCTAGCAGACCTGAATCGTACATAATCGTCTAAGAACTTTATAATCCTTAACCCTGGGTCTGTGTCCTGGTAGCTTGGGTCGGGTCTTGAAGCCCGTCGCTTGGGGATTCTTACAATAGCATCATCTTCTCACCCCTTGCATTGAACCTTGCAACCTTGAGAACGAACTGTTAGGAATTAGGTAAAAGAATAGAAAGGAAAATAAATTGACGTCACGAGGTAATTCGTATTTTTGTATTTTCTCGTTCCCCCGTTCCCGTACCGGACTTATATTAGTATTGTTTACTCGGCGAAAATAAAAGCCCTTTTCTTCTTCTTTTGGATTTAGTCGGCGGCGCAAGCTACCTAGGTAGAGCAAAGCTGGTGCCAACTGAATGAGGCCTCGCGCTTAGATCATCGTTCTAGGGCCAATCTGGACTGGTTATACGCCAATAGACGAGGCCAATCCATAACCGTTTAACCGTTTATGGGGTTCCTTCGTATTGTTACCTTGTCCGTGGGTTAGCCTCAGCACAAGTCCCATCAGCCTCAATCTCATTTTCATTAGCCAAATCGCTACAGGTGCTCGGATCGTTCCATGATTGGACAATCTTCGAATATCGTCTTCGACCTTCTTCACTATTGGCGCATTTCATTGGTTCTAGCGCCAAGCGCTTCTGTGATGCACTCCCCATTTACCTATTTCGGTGGGGGTATCGTGGGGACCGCCGTCTTAGTCGAACGACCTCTTATCTTCTTATTTTCCGGTCGCTTCTTTTTCTTCACACAACTTACCTCCTAATTCCTCTCATTTACCTCATTGGCGGTTATCGACGTCAAAACCAAGTCGCGTGCGCCATCTCGTAGTCGCATTCGTAATGATTTTAGGCCTCCTGGGAAGATTCATGTTGTCGCTATCTTCAGAGTCATCGCGCTTAGTACGTCCCGATTTAACTCGGCGAAATCAAGCCGCGCTGACACAGATCGCAGCTTCAATTCTCGCGCTGATGGGCTCAAACAATAAGCTGATTTCTTATCAACTTGGCCAATTCAACCGAAACCTCAAATTCTGCAATCAAGCTCATGTTAGCTGAGGGTGAATGGCGCCGTGTTGTACTACGGTTGATCTCGGTCCTTCTGTCGGATAGGAAAACCGTTGAGATTATTTGCTCGTAAGTGCGATCAACAGTCGACCGTCGCCTTAATCTAAGTGGTCCGCTACGGCTAAATCCGAATCCTTATGGTGTACCTCGGGGGCAGTGTGAGAACAGTAGAAGCACTCCGGGCGGAGCATATCCTGAAAACATTTCCAAATAAAGCGAATCCGTCAGCAACTATTTCCATCGTTGTTGTAACATGAATTATAAAGTGTTTTTTTTATATATCGACACCCTTGATGACCTCTTAATCCCGTGATACATGATGAATACCATCGATCAGGCCTATTGCAAAAATATGTTGGTTTCTAATCATATTAAACTGGTGGAGATCTTACTATGACTGTGCGAATAAGAATCGGTGAGATCCGATGATACCTACGTAATATTCGTAATTCAAACCAACGTACATATTTTTTTTTAAAAAAAAAATAAGTTATTCATAATCTTTGCGGCTTTGCTTGATTAGTTGCTATCTAGGTATCTTCCAAGTTCTATTCGCATGGTGGAAACATTAGTATTCTCTGTAGCTTCTTGAAAATAAGCTAGTTACAGGCACTTTGGGCGATCTAAAGGCTAAACAGTGACCGAAGCTAGCGCATCTGAAAGGAAGATGATATAACTATCGGTACTGTCTAAGTTCCCCCAAATCGTACGAAACGCGATCGTCTCTCTCTCGGGCAGCTTTCCGTAATATTGAGCCGCGTAGCGTATTTTCCCTCTAAACTTCATATCATCGATCCAACATACGGGTCGCGGTTACCATCCGGAGAGTACTCGACGGTGTACTGTACAGTCTTTTGTATCTGAAGTCCCTTTTCCTCGTGTAGCGTATACTCTTCTGAGCTGGAATCGGCCCTACGAAAATTGGATAGGTTGGCGCCCTCGTATCCAACTTTACCGTTGTTGATGCGCGCCCATTTACCCTCTTCCGACTTGGAGTGACTCCCGCTGCTACTCGGATAGGACTTTGGCAAGCCACTGCTAGTGTAAGCTGCGCCTTTGTCCGAATTCTCGCGAGAATTGGAGTAGTAAGTAGGCATCAGTTTTGGGAACCACTTGATAATTAGGGGGCGGATCTGCGGAAGACAAGCACATACGAGCGCTACGTTCATCTCAATGATGGTCCACATGGTAGAGGCAATGTCGTAAGTTGGGTCTGGTGTCCTTGCTTGCATATCTATGGTGGTGACTCTTAGACAAGAAGTGATAACCACGCTGTTGTCTAGCGTTAGTTAATTGACATGAAGATGTGCCACAGGCTACTTACAATACACCGAGAGCAAAGACGATCATCAGGGCAGCCTTTTGGACTCTAGGTATCTGCAATGCGTAGACAAGAGTCATAGGGAGAGTGAGGATGATGATATCGGTCGCGATTGAGAAACCAGAGTTGGCGTACCAAAATTTTCCATTATCTATGCAGGAACCCTTCATGGACTTATCGAATGCCTTGGTAATCGGGGTGCATTGGAATATCGTCGCCGTAACCGATGCGATGCAATACATGACCACAATGAGTAGCATGAAGCGGCACGCACACCTAAACCACTTGGTATTGCTGAAGATTCTCAGGTAAAGCAGAAGGATTGACGCCTTTGTTAGGTTGATACAGGTTTTGTAAGTCACCTGGCAGAGGTAGAAGTACTACGTCCCGGGGGTATCCCATTAGTGATATTGGACCACACAAGTATAAGGAGTAGATCACAAGTATCCGAGAACACACCTTGAAGGCTTGGTATTTGTCAGTACCAGACAAACTATACATATGTCTTCCGTAACCGTAATGGCAAGCTGCAAGCATGATTCCGCTTGAAGCCAGAGCGAATCCCTTGGGTAAAGTCGTCAGCACGTGTGGTTCATCACCGGTCTTCGCGTACGCCTTAAGACCTTGACTTACAAGTGATACCAGAATAGTCCAGTCATCAGCGCCAAGATGTCCTCCGTTTCCCAGCCTCGACCATATTCTGGTGCCGACAATGATGGGGCAGATAGCCAGGAAAACCCCGACAGGAACGTATATCATCTCGGAGTTGGTATCATAGTAACCAGGATCATCAGGGGACAGGTTGCCTCTTGGGAAATTAGACATCTTGACAGAATATAACCAAGTGGCTAAACTCGTTATGACGACAGTGCCCTTGTAGTCCCTCAGGGTCTGGATTGCATGATAAGCTGTAGACAACACAATAGAGTAGAGTACCTCTATTTCGAAGTGCGGGCCCAGGAGATTGGATGGGATTATAGTATAGATAGTCTGAAGTGGGATATCGACGACCAATGTATACAGTTCTAAATTGCGAACTCGGTGGTGGTTGAGTGTTTTTGTGAGTTTCCAGGAAGTTGATGTGATGGTGCGATGCCGACTGCTATATCTGATGACGGGCGACTATTCCTTCCAGAGTAGCATATCCCAAACTGTAAGAGCAACCATCAAACTAGAAGTCTTAGATTAATTGAGTACCTTGGTACACTCACGATACAGTTAAGGAAAGTGCATGTGCGTACACTCTGGCATACTGGTTGGTGCTACGTCACTATACGCATCGTATATAGTTCCTTCCCTGGGAGAGGTGTACCCCATAGAAAATAGAAATCGAATTTAGCAATAGACTTTACTGTGATAGATATTAAGCAGCTACAATCACTTGCCCCTGAGATTCCTGCGCCATGGGTAAGGATGCGTTCAAGACTAGCAGCCACAGTGAAGATCTCAGATGAGACAGAAAGTGAGGTAACAGCCACATTGACATACCTAGGTAGGTAGCTAAACTTTGGAGAATATTGGAAGACGCCAAATCATTTCCTCCCTTCAATTACATGTCCCCTAACTACAACGTAAGGTACCTTAGGTATGTAATTACCTGTCTCTTCACCTAAGACAAGCACAACAAGACGGTGGAACATAGCACCACTAGTCATTTCGTATGTAATACATCCGGGTGTTGTTAACCGACTTCAAGGCGAACTAAGAACAGACAAACTTTGAGAGTTATGCTGTCGTGACTAAATTATATACCTAAACTATTATATATCTATATCTATTTTGCTAACCCGAATAATAGCCACGTCGCGTGCGCCATCTATCACGTTTGCGTATACAGCCATCTCGGCTGCCCACTTGCTTTGCTACATTGCTCCGTGATTACTGAGCACAACCGAGGAGACGTAACAGGCACACCAGATCTCAGATTGGGGCAATTCCGGATAGCAAGGGCAAATTCGCAACTATTGTCGTTAATAGTTTACTGTGTGGCGAATTGTCAGGTGCGGCTATTGGTAAGACAAGGCCGGCAAGGTGAGACAAAAGCTCGCAAGCGCAGGCGACGGTTTCACCCATATTATCGCCAGGTCGACTCATGTCTGAGATGCCCTGGACGTTCCCTGCTTTTACTTCTCTATTGCGCTTCCTGTAGGCCAAATCCAATCTGTCGGGGCAATGAAGTAAGGTCGGGCATGTTTGTTAGTTACCTATGGCCAGTTTGACAGATGAAGTCGCTTTCATATTTCGATGAATACCTGTTAGAGTATAACATAATGTTCTCAAGCAATCAATGGTGGCAATGTGCCTGTTATTCCGCAGTGGTTAGTATAAGATATGATTAAATTTTAATTCATTTCAAAAAATCCTTTTTTCCCCCAAAAAGGAGAGGTAAAAAAGGGATGATGAACTGCTACCCCAGATAATTCTGTATAGGCACATGCACATGTACATTAGGTACGCAAGATTCCATTAACTCTTAGTACGATACTGCATCAGCAAGATCACAAATCTAATGTATTGCTTTGTGTTTATGGTATGTCGTATCACGACAGCTATCTCCTCTCAAACCATGCAGACTACCTACCTACCTACCTACCTACATGCCTAACATACATGTAATACATCTACCAAGTCACATGTATATGCATTGTCACCCCGCGCCGAATTATATGTATTTCCGCTTGCTATTATGCATATGTTCCCCCCACGTGTAGGCTACAGGTTGATAATTCTGGAATAAGTCTATCAACGTTTCACCCATCAATGGGTATTTACGTCTTGCCGATAGTGCCCCCGGATTCCAGGATTGGGAAGATGGATTAGGTACCTACGGTAATCTAGGTATCTGTCTGGGCACCTAGGTAGTTATTTCAAAGGGCTGCCATAGCTTTACAAGACTGTTACCAGAGAGCTAGACTTTTCAACATTCCGAGCCTTGGCAGTGGTGAGTAATATCCATTAACGCCAAAGCCAATTGCCGGGGGCGCGGTCGTTCTTGTGTCGCGGCAATGTCTAGAAACAGGTGGTTACCATGAGACGAAATGTCTTGCTGTCTGAATCTCTAAGAAAAGCCGCCGAGAGGCGAGAAGAACGAACTAAATGAGATCTGCCTACATGATTTACCGTGAATGCGTAATCTGCCCGAGCTGATATGAATATATTTGATGTAAGATAGGTAGATACGTAGGCATGTAACTAATAGCTTTGTAACCTAAGCTGCCTCCTAGAAACAACGTCGAAAAAGAAATCATTGGTCGCCGACCACACGATTCTGCGATAAGGCGGCGAGTTCGAATTTCTTCTGCATGGAAAGACTAGTGGGAATAATATTTTATTTATCTTTATTTACGTAGGTACCTATTTATTAGTTTCTTTTATCAGCTGTCATATCTGGCTGTTGCTCTTCGCTCTTCACACTTTCGGTTGATGATCACCTGTTATGATCTTCACATGTGTCACTATTTGTCTTTCCTTTTCTCCTACACCTGCTTCCTTGCAGTAGTAACCCTACCCAGACGTGTCGATGATCTTTCCTTCGAAAATCTAATTCTAGTCCCAATTCACTCCGGCTTCCAGTAAACTTTCGGATATGCCTCCTAGCGCATCGGAAGAGGAGCTTACCAACAAAGCCAAACTTGTTCGCATCACCACCATCATGGCCAACCAGAAGCGTGCGCCGCATAGCGCCGATGCCGAAGTGGCCGGAATTCCTCCGGGCATGATCGACGCTCATGCGGAACGCCGTTTACTCCGTAAGATAGATTTTCACGTCTGGCCTATCCTGTTTGTCATCTACATGATGTCTTTCCTCGATCGCATCAACATCAGTAACGCCCGCATCCAAGGAATGACTGAGGAGCTAGACCTATACGGTAATAAGTTCAACATTGCCCTCTTTGTAAGCCATACTTTGTAAGTGTGTTGCTTTACGCTTCAATCTTACTGACCTATTGCAGGTATACTTCATCCCTTACATCTTGCTCGAGGTTCCTAGCAACATGGTGCTCAGGAAACTCAGGCCTCACTACTACATCCCGTTTCTTATGCTGAGTTGGGCCATCGTCAACATGTGCATGGGGTTCGTCTCAACGTACGAGGGGCTTGTGGTATTGCGCTTCTTTCTCGGAACGTTCGAGGCTGGTGTTATGCCTGCTATCGTCTATCTCACTTCCATGTATTACAAGCGCCACGAGTTTCAGACACGCATAAGTTTCTTCTTCTGCTCCACTGTTGTTGGCGGTGCTTTTGGAGGAGTAAGTAATCTTTCTCTTTCATCGGCGTACTTATCGTTATGTCTGTCCTTCTCTTTGTATTAGCCTGTGCAAGTCTGTATCGACCCAGTAGGCAAAGATGACTTCGGCAAAAAGGTCGGTAGTCACTAACAAATATATATATATATAGCTAATCACGAATATAGCTGCTTGCATATGCGATTGCGAATCTCGATGGCCATAACGGCATTGCGGGCTGGAGATGGATCTTCATCATTGAAGGGGCGGCCACAGCTGTCATAGCCATTATATCCGTCCTCCTCATCGTCGATTGGCCAGAGCAGTGCCACTTCCTTACTCCGGAAGAAAAGCACCAACTGGAACTTCGACTAGCTGACGATGGCGCCAACACGGTGGCTCGCATGGACACGCTCAATGCATACGCGTATCGACGCATCTTGTCCGACTGGAAGATTTGGGCTGGCGCTATAATGTACATGGGTATCGGCGTTACGGGTTACGCTACTACGTTCTTCATGCCGACTATTCTGCGCGAGTTTGGCTGGGAAGCACAAGCTGCTCAAATTCACACTATCCCCGTGTATGTCGTCTCCGCAATAGGCATGGTATCCGTAGCATACTTGTCCGATCGATTTAAGCACCGTTACGGCTTTGTTATTCTGGGCTGCACCATCGAGACAGTCGGGTACGCTATGCTGTTGCGCCACGATGGTCTATCGAGCGGTGCCAAATACGGCGCCGTATTTCTTGTATCGCTCGGCGGCTTTGTATCTGCGCCAATTGCGCTCGCCTGGCTCGCCAATAACATGGCGGGTCATTGGAAGCGCTCCTTCGCCTCCGCTATCCAAGTTTCTCTCGGCAATATCGCAGGTATCGTAGCAGCCCTCATATTCCGCCAGGAGGAGGCTCCGCGTTACCTGACCGGTTACGGCACTGCCCTAGCTATCACATGGTTAGGTGCTCTTTCGGCGACCCTGTTTTTCGTAGGAATGCTCATCGAGAATAGGAGGCGGGACGCCGGTAGGAGAGATTCGCGGTTAAGCGGTCCCAAGGAGGAAGTCGATAACATGGGTGATTACCATCCATCATTTCGATTTACGTTATGAGGGGAGATTGGCCTGTTTTGTTACTTACTAGTTTATTTGTTGCGGCTTTGGGACAGGTGTGTGCTTGTAGCACGCTTGGAAAACTAACCTGTTAGGTATTCTCAATGACATCAGACATTAAAATAGTCTCCATACAGACAAGGGTAACTATTGAATATGATAGAGGATAGGGCTCTCGCCATACGAAGACTCATGATGATGAATGCAGTAAGTAGCTTTATGTCATTGCAAAATTATGTGTCTTGTCTGAGTAGTGTCGGAACTGGGGTAGATTTTAAACCAATAGAGGCATACCGAAATAGGAGAGTAATATAGTGTATACTCACATGGCATAGTTATTGCAATATAAAGACTTGCGAGCTAATATCGAGCGCACAATATCTTGGTAGATATGCCGCCTGTGTTAGACATGTAGACAATTGGGTTGGTGGTAACTTGAATAAGTACCTACCTAAGCTTGGTCTGAATGCAACACACAGCTTCGAGGTCAACATTGAAAATATATGCAACTCATTGGCTTGTGATGGTATAATTTTAGCACCTTGAATATCTAATACTTCTCCCTAGCCAGTTGTCATACACGTAATTGATACATCCCAAATACACTCACCCACCCCTACGCAGGCCTGCCCCAATGCGTTGCTCGAACCCAGTTTGCTCCTAAGGGTTTTCGCCAACGTCGTTTTCGTGAATATGTCATTCCAATCGTCATCCCTAGCCATAGGGGTACTCGTAAATTAACCCCACCAAACTGCTAGCCTGATAGATCCGCCTGCAAATTCGTCTAGGTCGCCCTAGTCTCCACGTTCGCTACCGATAACAAGTGAATAGCATAGGGTACCTCATCTCTTTTCGCTAATGCATCATCGAAAAAAAATGGAAATATAATATAGATGGGAGGGAAAATGTCAACACGTCCACATGCTCTGGGTATATGTCATGTTCCGAAAGAGCGGGAAGAAATAAACCAACCAAAGACCACTATAGCATTTCTCTTATGGACAAGTCGTAGATAAGTAATGATCTCTTTTTTTTCCTTTCTTCTTTTTTTTTAAAAAAAATACCGACGCGAGCTTCTATAGCTCGTCTCTGATGTGCTGAACTGTATCCCCTACCTTCCCGGCGGCAGCCCCAGCGACGGACCTAGCCGTATCACTAGCTTCGCTGGCGGCGCTGACTGCAGTCGCGGATGCGACACTAGCGAGACTTGATACTGAAGCGACACCAGTTGAATATGCTCCTATGAGGCGCGAATATACCGACTCGGTGAAAGGTGGCTCTTTACCAACGACGAGTTCGGAAACGAGAGAGCTGACGACCGAGTACTGGGATGCTGCAGCGATATTAGCCGAAGAAGCGTAGTCTTCTGCTAATACCGTGACAGTTGAAACTTGATGCGCTGCCGCGTCCGTAGCCGATGCTGCGTAGTCACCCGCAGCGGAAGCAAAGTCACCGGCTGCAACTTGTAGATTTTCATACCACGGAGTAGGCGTAGGAGCGCTGTAGACCTGGGAGCTGACACGACTGACAAGCGCATCCCAGTTCTCCCCTATATAGTCGCTTGCATCGGATGCTAAGCCGCCGACAGACAACGCTATGGACTCGGCGTTCTCGCTAGCAACTGAGACTGCAGAAGCAACCGATTCACCGGCTACTGATGCGACGGACGAGGCAGACTCCTGGATATTGGTTGGGGTAGGCGTAGCCGTTAAGGAGCTCACGGCTGTAGACGCAGCAGAAAGGAATTCGGAATAACGTGCGTGTGCCAGACCTATGCCTGCATAATAATTGTGCTTAGCCTGGTTGAGAAGCTTCTCAGCTTTCCGTTCTGCCTCCTCGAGGTACGTGCTGGGTGTTGGTTCAGAAGCGCCGATGACTACCTTTGCAGATTCATACTGCTCCGAAGCCCATTTCAACGAGTCATCAAAATTGTGTTGTGCGATGGACTGGACTCTTTCCCAATCGACAGATGGCACGGTTGGAATGCCAGGAATCCATTGTGTAGTGGGAGTGCCATAGATGCCTTCTGATGCGGCTGTCATCGCAACGTTGAGTCTCGAGTTGGCCGTGGCAATTGCACCCAGATATGCGCTCGAAACAGAACTGAACATCGCTTGGTGGATAGGTTTTGGCTCTCCGCGGATCTGCGCGGATACGGCCGACATAGCACGTAAATAATGATCCGCAGCTCCCGCGACGGCGGCAGTATATGCTGATTGCGCGGCCGATGTGATGCTAGCGGGGATATCTGATTTAATAACTGACGCAGCGCTAGACGCGGACGAAACAATGTCATCGTCTAGAATAGGTTGTCGCGAAGGTACCGACTGAGCTGCGGCGCCGAAGAGGGCAGGTTTAATGGTAGTAGTAGTAGTAGTAGTAGTAGTTGGCTGAACGGGCGCGGCTGGTTCATCGGGTAATTCGACGATCGTTTCCTGAACTTGCTCTGGTCCATCAATTGGATCAGATGATGGGAGCGGCTCGACAGAACCAGTGGCGTTCTCAGTCTGTTCGGACGCGAGGCTCTCCGTTGGAGCGAGCGAAGAAGTATTAGGGTCTTCCGCATCTGTTTGGGAAAGTGATATTATGACGGTCTCAGCGCTGTTAGGGTTCGCTTGTTCGTTCTTGATCTCTTCACCAGCGAGAGGAACTGCTGACGTTGCGCTTTGCACGGCCTTCTGGGCAACAGAGATTGCTGCCAACTCAGCCATTTCGCTATCGAAGTTATCGCTAGCATCGCCAGCTATGGCCTTCCACGTAGCAACCTGCTTTAATCGACTCAACTCTTCAGCAGCAGCTTGCGCAATGCTCATACCCTCGTCCTCGATTTCGGCCCCGGTTGATTGCGCTAATACAAGGCCAGGGTGCGTTGTAATCAAGCGCTTGAAGTCATCCGTCCACTCGTCGAAACGTGCCTTTAGCTCGTGATACTTCCTCCAATCCTTGTAGGTGATGCCGTCCATCCATGCCCATTTCATGCCGATCTTCTGAAGTGCAAGATCGCGAGTTTTCTGAAGGATGCTGTAGTGCTCTTGAGCTGCCTTAGTAACCGCGATTTCTGTCTCTTGATCGTATGTCTGACGCCAGGCACGAATATCTTGGGCTTTGTTCTTAATCTCGAGACCAGCAGCCCGGACAGCAGCAGCGAGGGCTTCGTCTCTTTTTTCATTCTCATTGCCATGTTTTTCCAAGATGGATACAATGGATTTTTTGAGGTTCTGTAGCTCGGTGCTGGCGGTTTCCTCGAGTTGCTTCACTAGAGACCTACCCATACCATTGGCATGCCTTTCGATCATGCGGGCCGAGATCTCATCCACGCGCTCTTCAATTTCAGCGGCACCCTCCTGTGCAGCTGTGGTAAACTTGCCTTCCCATAACTCGAGATCCTCGGCGGCGATCTTCGCGGCTAGCTCCCGCGTTTCCTCCGACGTGGGCGATTTGTTCTGCTTAATTTTGACTTCCGGTGCTCCTTGGCCTCCAAAGGATTCTGCTTCGCTCGAGTGTTCAGGTTCGACAATGGTCTTGGCAGCCGAAGCAGCGGACGAAGAGATGGAAGAAGCTACCGGCTTTGTAAAAGTGGATTTGGGTGAGATTGAACTATTCAATCATCAGTAAATATACGAGAAAGGAACACTTCATGAAGTGGTATGAACTTACGAGCTAGCTTCTTCGGTCACCAACTTGGCCTTTCTCTCATTGTACCTTCCTAGTCGCTCGCCAATACGTACGAGCTGCGGCTCAACCTTCATGACGTAGACATCTCGTAGATGAGGCCAGATTGTAGTGTCCAGGAAAGTGTAAGTCTTATTCCAGGCCCAGATAGTCGAGGGAACTGCAGTGTCAGTCGTAAACGAATAGGCAGCGTCATAACCTTGTGCGGCGTAAGGCTGCATGAATACACACGCTGGGAGCACGAATTCGTGGTAGGTCTGTAGAGCATTGACTTGTGCAATGTCATAATAAGGAGATATTATAGCAGAGATACTCTCCACATGGGGCGCCACTGTTTGATCGTACTGGGTTTTTGCTATAGCTTGATACTCGCTTAGCTTAGGTTGCACATTTTTCTCCCACTTGACCTGACCAAAAGCTCGGGCCTGGGAAACTCGTGGGCCACCATATTTGACTGCATACGTGCGGGCAGGAGTGATGACAATGCGGTCGACTGTATCGTAGTATGGCTTGGCAACATCGACGTAAGGTGCAGCATAAGCATCGTAATAGGGTGTGATGTGCGGCGTTACGGCTGATTTGATCTGGAAGTAGGGTTTACATATCTTGGGCGTTGTGTCGTCACAGGCGTCGAGAGTAGAGGGACACCGGAAAAAAAGGGTAAAGATGGAATACCACGTTAATAGCCTATGATGAAAAGCGAATTAGTATCCTGTTCTTACACGAGGGAAGCATTCTACAAAATCTTTATCTTACCTTGCGATAATGTTAAAGCTCCACGCAAAGAAGCTCCGCTTCTTCTGTTTGGTATTTCTCCGCTTGGGAGTTGCTGTATGTCCATTTAAACCGTTAATCCCATTGACCCCATTTACACTTTTGACACCTTTGGGCTCCTTGAGAGACACATTTGTGCTTGACTTAGATCTGGTGTTTGTTGAACCGGCCATAGTAAAGGCACCTAGCGGTGAGCTCGATCAATAACTAATATTATTCGCATCAAGGTAAAGTTGGTAATTTTATATGGATATCAGTGCTGCGGATGGGAACATCCCCGAGATGCGATGATAAGTCGTATGAAACCGACCAGGATAGGATAGTACGGAATATATTGATTGCTCTTTAATTCTAGGTCAGCATCGAGTCCGCGACTTGAGATTCGAAGGTGTGTACATAAGTTTATGTGGCCGATTCGAGGGTTGACTACTTAGGAAGTCTAGGACAAGAGAGAGTGAGAAAAAAAAACATGCAAGATTCTGTGGGATAGCAGAGTAGAAGAGAGCGGGAGAAAGTGGATACACAAGTTTTAGAAGCTTTGATGGTGGCGTGTGACGGCCGCGAAGCTAAGGCTGGCGTTTTGACTTGCTGTAACAAAAAGAGATGATCAGGGATTATCAGGGATGACGCAGGGGTTTGTGAAGGTTCGAGAAATCGATACCGTTTTTGTTATCTGTCTTCTTCTTCTTCTTCTTCTTCCCTCACCAAAAAAAAAAAAAAAAAAGACAAGGGGATAATTAAAGGTCAGGTTTATTATATGGATACACGAATGTATAATGAACAAATAGAAGAATTCAAGGACAGTTAGATACATTAGGATGTACATTAGGTAATTAGGTACATACCTATGATACGTATTTAGGTACCTATTTAATCCGCACCAACCTATGTCAATATGTACCTAATGTAGCTGATGAACCCACAGGAGCTATGACGAAATAGAATGCAACCTGCAGTACCTACCTACATATAGTAGGTACGCTAATAGTAGCTGGTACGGTTTGTTAGACATTTCACGTGAGAACAGGTACTTCGTACATAACCTCACAGATAAACACGAGGGGTCATATTTGGGATTGAAGATTGGAGAATTGGACGGTCGTACTTATATCAATACACATATATGTTAATAAGTATACCTAAATCTACATGGTATAAGTGGTAACTAACATAATCTGACAGTTGGAAAAGATGATGATGGTTGATCGGGTCTTTAAAGACTTTAAGAAAGTAAGATATCGGAATGCAAGCTACGCTTCCATTGCCTTATCACCTATAACGCTTGTCATTGCGGCCTACCCTCCATTTCAAGCACTAGACTCTGCCAATTTGTCTTTTAGCATATGCCATAGTTATTCTGTAAATGTCATCTGACTATGGCGTTTGCAGCCAAGCAGTGTTGAAGAGATGATCTGCCCTTACAGCATAAATCTTGATAGTTATTATACTGTAAGGTCCACCAGTTAGCTTAATGAACCCGGATTGCTGGAACGCTAGGAATCGATAGACTTGCATATATTTCACGTGAGATAAAGACAAGTTATTAGGTAATATAGTTACATAGTTAGGTAGTAAATGTGGTATTACATACATGGTGAAAGCAGTTTTATCGGAACCAGTCGGCTGCATCAACTAGTAAGCCCAACTTCTTTTGTTATCTAGGTTAAGGCATACCTTGTATTTTATAAGATAATTGAGACTTTTTCTGTACTATACATAATATCATAATTGATTTTTGTTAATGAACTATATAACTTGGGATATGTATTGGGTGATTTTGTTATGTACCTTTTAAGTACTTGCGTTGCAGTTATCACTGGATTAGGTAATCTACTTTATGCGCTTATCGGCTTTGTTCTATTCTGATGAGTGGTGCTATCAGTAGGTAATAGTTGCCACTTCAACATTACCTACCTAAACTTACCTAAGGTAAGATATGTAGGCTTTTAGACGTACTTTCTCAGGTACATCGTCATTTGTTACCACTATCTAACCTCCATTAAGTACGGAAACATACTTGCAAACATATCTACCTACAAAGAATCACTTCGCGTTTATGTTCCTAGGTAAGGTAATATGCCTGCTTATCTATTTCTTTTTCTTCTCGAAACACCGCAATGTCCTAACTTCCACCTTAGGTAATCGCATACTTTGTATTATATCGCATATCTCACATCCGTTAGCACGCGATTTGATTGCATCGATTATCACCACCTTGTAGCATCCATTTTTTTATTAAAAACCGCTGTCGACGTACCATACCACGCGTGACGATACCGTAATCTCATGGTCCAAACTTAAGAAAAGAGCCCTCTGGGCGAGAGTTGCAATTTACCTCTCACCGACTGGTCTTGGTTTCGAGCAGATATTTCGTCGCTTACGATGCCGGATTTCTTACCCGACCTTACCCAATTCCCTAACGCCGCCCAGCGACGGGAGCAATCTGCTTCGAAGCCTGATACCATAGCGGAAAGCACCATGTCGGGAACTAAACCTTCGGTTAATGATTCGATCGATCCTGATACCTGTCGGATTTGCCGAGGAGAGGGCACCACCGACGAGCCTCTCTTTTATCCTTGTAAATGCAGCGGCAGTATCAAATACGTACATCAGGATTGCTTGATGGAATGGCTTTCACACTCGCAAAAGAAGCATTGCGAGCTTTGCAAGACGCCATTCCGCTTCACCAAGCTATATTCTCCGAACATGCCCAAGCGGCTACCCCTTTACATCTTCGTCACCCATATGACCAAATATCTCTTCCGTAACGTGCTTGTCTGGTTGAGAGCCATCCTGGTCACTAGCGTTTGGTTAGGCTGGCTTCCCTATCTCATGCGTTCCGTCTGGTCCTTTCTATTCTGGATCAGCGACGAGGGTTTCGGTCCCAGCCCCCCTGTTCTCGATTCTCGGAATGCCACTTCAATAGGTCGAGGCGATCTGTCTTCTCTTTCCGTCACGGGCACGACTACATGTGCATCTACACCCTTACTACCCGCTACGACCACCGCTGCGAGTATTGGGGGTATTATCGACCAGATTCCTGTGTCCAATTTGTTGAGAGCCATCTCGAGACCTCTGAACACAAACCCTCCAACTTGGTTCACCACGCTATTGGGCTTATCCGCTACCACAGACAAGTCAATATACGGAACTAAAGATTTCCTAAACGTGACACATGTCGATCAGTTTTATATCTCGCCCGTCGCTTATCGCCCCTCATCTTTATTGAGCGAAGTTGCCGTCCTCAAAAACTTCACGCGACACCCCGCGATCAACCGGACCATCATCGCTGTACTGGAGGGCCAAATCATAACTTTGCTAGTCATCGTATGTTTTATCCTGATTATCTTAGTCCGAGATTACGTGGTGCAGCAGCAACCTGAAATAAACATGCGCGCTGCTTTCGCCGCGGCGGAAAACGAGGCACCTCCACCACCCGCACCTGTGAACAATCCAGCACCACCCAACTTGGGTCTAGATGACGACGAGGGCATGGACTCTGATGACGACTCTACTGAAGGGCGAGATGGCCCGATAGCTGAAAATAATACAGAGGACTTGGGTCCTAATCGAGCAGGTCATCTGCAAGATATTGTCGATACACAGAACCCTCGCCATAGACCTATTGCCGAATTCCGGCGGCGAGCGCCAGTGTTTGATCCCAATAGCAGACAGGAAGGTCAAGGAGAGGACCGCGGTCGTGCCGAGTCCATTGCGCGCAATGCAGGGCTCGTAGAGCAGAACAACAAGTTCCAGGTTGGCCCAGCCGAGCAAAGATTTGGCGAACGGACTCTCTCGGACAATCTCGACGGCGAGGCAAATTCGCAGGGTACGGTGAAGGAGTATCTACGGATCTACAGAGAAGCCGGCGGAGACCAGGAAAAAATCCTTCAAATCATTCGAGAGGAAGGGCTGGAAGACCGTATGCGATACTGGATCCGCGTAACACAATCAATGGCGACTGCTGGCAGGGCTGCTGACGGAAGTAGTCTCGATCTGGGAAATGGCATTGGAAGTTCAATCTTAACTCACCAGGAACGACGCTCAAGCCGGTCCCCTACGAGGTCAGACTCGCCCAAAGCTGATGCGACTGGTAGTGATAACTCGAGTTGGACGTGGGCGGAAAATGATGACGGCGATGCCGTAGCAAGCCAGAGTTCCCACGATAAAGGGAAAGGCAAGGTCACCGAGACGTACGGAAATGGGAGCGATTCCTGGACAGATTCCTGGGCGGCTTGGGGAGGTGAATTTGGCGAAAATACTCCACATTTGCCTAATGGTAACAGCAGCAGTGAAAAGGCATCGTCTTCGGATATACCGCTCTTAACAAGACCAAGATCTATTTCTGACGGCCCTCAATCCCCCAAACCTATCAATAAGCTTGCAAATAATAATTGGTCATTCTCTGGTCTGCCTTCTGGTCCGTCAAATGCTCCTCATGGGAGTGTGCCTGGCCACGGCAATTCAGCCTTACCTTCTACCCCAATGTTTTCAGATGTTGATAGCGCTATCAATGGAATCGATTTATCACAACGAAGTAGACCTGTTGACGATGGTACCGCTATTGGCCAATCACAACAAACAACTGTACCTTTCCAAGCAGGATTGAACACGCCAGGGACTGTGGAAGACAGGATGGTTGATGAAACCAATGTACAGGATCTCGCGGGAGATGGCCACGCCGAGGACTCCACTACCTTGGTCGAACCGGTTCATGGTAACGAGCCCGCTGTCGTAGCCGCGAGACAAGCCGGCAGTATTGTGGATCGTGTAGCCGATTTCATGTGGGGCGACGTAGACGTTGGCCATTTAGATGAAATTGAACCAGAAGAAGCTGTGGATATTTTCGGTGTGAATCAGAACGCGCCGTTCTTCGACAACGATCGTGGAATTGACGGAGAAGGCGAAGATGAGATTGAGATGGCCCCAGATGTCGTAGAAGCCGCCGTTGCTGCTGGTCTCGATCCAGAAGCCGTTGAAGATGCCGAAGATTTTGAAGGAATCATGGAGTTAATTGGTATGCGCGGCCCGATTGCAGGCCTATTCCAAAACGCCATCTTCTGCGCCTTTCTCGTATCTATCTCTATCTTCATGTGCATATTCGTTCCATATAACGTCGGTCGCGTATCTGTCTGGGTAGTCGCGCATCCGACTCGTCTGCTCAGAATCGTCTTCAGCGCCTCCAAGTTCGTTCAAGACGTTGTCCTGTTGGCTGTCGGTTATACCTCGACGATTATATTCACCCTGGCCGAAGCATTTACTGTACTTCTGAGAATCGAACAGGGAAAGCAACTGATACATACCCTCAGAATTGATACTAGACACGTTGCCGCCGGCGCCTTAGAACGGGTTCTCGCTAGTTTCATGTCTGAGATTCCGCTCATCTCAGTTAGCGAGGTGCGTAACTTCTCCGCTGTCAGCCACGAGGCCCTCATAATGATAAAAAGTGAGATACGGTACGCTCTCTCATCTGCCGGACATGTCATTCTGTATATTTTCGGCGGCGACTACACTGCCAAGTTGGCTACGGCTAAGTCTATAATCTCCCTCCTGGTGCCTGCAACATTCCAATTCCTGATGGCTCTCTCCACCATTGCCACGCAGCCAGGATCATGGATGTTAAATCTGAGTCTCTCTGAACCGTCATCTTCTGCAAACCCCGTTCTTGCTTATTGGGACGCGAACGACAGGACATGGGTTATTCTTGCTGGATATGTCTCTCTGTCAGTCTTAGCCGGGCTCTATCTCGCCAGAGGAACGCCGTTTTCTACAGGACAAGCCGCTCAAGAATGGGAAGCATCCATTATTGACCTCCTAAACCAGGCCAGCGGCGTCATGAAGGTGATCTTGATCATCAGTATAGAAATGTTGATATTCCCATTATACTGCGGATTGCTGTTAGACTTCGCGTTACTTCCCCTCTTCGAAGGCACAAGCATCAGATCTCGTCTTTTATTTACTTACAATTATCCGCTTACTTCCATTTTCGTCCACTGGTTCGTCGGCACGGGGTACATGTTTCATTTCGCTCTCTTCGTTTCTATGTGCCGTAAGATTATGCGAAAAGGCGTCCTATGTAAGAAACCCTTGATTCGAGCTACTGACTATCTAGGTTGTTTTGCTAATCAAAACCAGACTTCATCCGCGATCCGGACGATCCGGAGTTTCATCCGGTGCGCGACGTTCTCGAGCGCAACGTCACTACCCAGCTCCGCAAGATACTCTTCTCGGCTTTCGTTTATGGAGCGTTAGTCTTAGTTTGTCTCGGAGGTGTCGTGTGGGGTTTATCCCTAACTTTGCCTAATGTCCTTCCGATCCATTACTCTTCTAACGAGCCGGTCCTTGAATTTCCTATCGACCTGCTCTTTTACAACTTCCTAATGCCTCTCGCCGTTAAGTTCTTCAGGCCGAGCGACGGGCTTCACGCCATGTATACCTGGTGGTTCCGAAAGTGTGCTAGAGCCCTGCGGCTGACATGGTTCCTCTTCGGCGAGCGACGCATAGATGAGGAGGGTACGTTAGTGCTGCCGGAAAGTTCGCCTTATCGAAAACTTCCCTGGTGGTGTCGAATTTTCCTCGAAGTCAATGACGAAACTGAAGTGGTCCCAAAAACGTGGCAAGACACGTTCAAGGGAGGTAAGGCGAAACCTTCTTCGAAAATCCCTACCGAGGAGATGGGTGTTTATAACGACAAGAAGGGGAAACTTGTCAACTCGGGGCAACTCATACCCGACGGCCGCTTTGTAAGATCGCCAGCGTCTGATCAGGTTAAAATTCCAAAGGGCCAGTCGGTTTTCCTTGATGTATCAGAAGAGGATAGGAGGGAAGATGGCAAGCCAGATCGCCCGGATACAGACCTATACTCGGGAACTCATTACCAATTTGTTTACATCCCTCCCTACTTTCGGGGCCGTATCTTCCTGTTCATCCTATCCATATGGATTTTCGCAGCTGTTACTGGAGTCGGCTTCACGATCGCACCCCTCGTGTTTGGTCGGCGCATGTTTAAGGTTCTTATACCTTCTCACATACGGACTAACGATATCTACGCGTTCAGTATTGGAGTCTACATTCTCGGCTCACTGGGCTATTTCGTCTTTCACCTACGGTCGATGCTCAACAGGCTAAGAATTTTAACATCATCTGTGCTGGATTCGATGCTCGACCGTCAGACAATCCAACGCGCCATCCAATTCGCGACTCGCGCGTCCCGGTTGTTATATACTTATACGGTCCTGCTTATTGTATTTCCCCTCCTTATCACGCTACTAGTAGAGCTCTATCTACTCATGCCGCTACATACATACATGTATCCAGCCGGAACAAATACTACGAGGCGACTCGAGGGTTTACGAGAGGGTCACACTATTCGGGTTATTCAAGCTTGGACTCTAGGTATATTATACCTCAAACTCGGTTCCCGGGCTGTGACGCTGTACGGTGGCAGGCCGGCGCATGCCGTACGCGCCGTTCTACGTCGCGGCTGGTTAGAGCCCGATATTGGTGTCTTGACACGGGCGTTTGTCATTCCCGGCGTCGTAGCATCGTTGGCCATGATCGCGACGCCTCCGATCATGGCGTGGGTAACCCTTCACCACATCCTAGATACCAATACGGAAGTGACTCAGGAAATGCGAGTCTTAATATTCCGCCTCGCCTATCCATCTACTACACTCTTCTGGACGGGGCTCGTTTTGATGCGGCGTATGCTACGCGTATTCGAAGGTTGGCAGGTTCGGATCCGGGATGAGGCGTACCTTATGGGGGAACGGCTTCACAATTTCGGCGGCACTTCGAAGGTATCAAACTGGAGAGCTAGCGCGAGGCTTTGAATGCTGTTTGTGTCGCTATGTAAAACGTAGAATTATAAGACTAAATGAACTTACGCGTATGAGTTGATGGTAATAGATATACACTGTCACATTAATTTTGCATGGGCCCCCTTTTTGTGAAATTGCCAGTCGTGACCATTGCTATTATCGTATCGTTGTAGGCACTACTCATGATACGGGATACAGATATAGTTATGTGCAACCTGGTAATATAGGTAGGTACTCCACCCATCTCTTCCATCTAAAGTACCTAAGGCAGGTAGGTAACATGCGCCATTATCACATATCCCAATGTCTAAGAGGATTGAAAAGATGGGAAGAAAGTGGACAAAACACACGGACGAGCTATATAATTTTTATTTATTTATGCTTCTGCAAGTAACTCACAGCAAAGCAGTTTTTAATAAGTGACAGGCTTCAAGTGGAACCTGGTCAACGTTGCGTTGCAGATGTAGGACTCGGCCGACAGTAATCATCACAAGTCACTTGGGTGTCGTGCGCGTCTGCACACAGCACGTACACGTAGTCGACAAGTACGAAACGGTACAAAAGTAGGCACAGGGGCAATCAAGTTTATTTTAATAAATAAATGGGCTCTTTCATTCATCAATGTAGTAGTAGATATGGAAACCCTCCTGTTCAACGCCCTGTTCTACCAATCAGAACTGACGGAAGCCAAACAGCAGACGAGCACTCCTTGGAACGGTGAAGAAATGAAAAAAACCTCACACAAACGCCCAATGGAATGCCATCCCGACGTTTCAGTCCCGGCAGGCCGCGTGAGAAAAAGCACCGGTGCCTTTAGGCAATATAAAGACAGAAGAGCCCATCCACTACTCTCAACTCTCTGCTAGAGACACATTGTAGCGTATCCCTACCGTCGTTCCGTCCTTCATGTTGGTGTATATGTTTTATGTTAGTGTTATATGTACATATACAGCCCAATCACCCCGACGCGTTGTAGTAGTATCTTCTTCCAAGCGGTCTCCATATCATCATCATGAGTTGGTGGAATATGGTAATATTAGTTGACTTTCCCCTACGACCGGGGCTCTGTTGGTTGCGTCGGCAACGAGGCGATAGTGTTGAGGTTCTGGAGTCGGTGGTGGAGATGGTGGTGAGAAATTCCTTCCTCCTCGCTATCCTCGGACATCCGATGATGGTCGTTACTGTTTCGTCTGCTAGGGTTGCGACTGGCCTGTCGGCTCTGACGTCGGCTTGCAGCCTGTGCGCTCGAGTAGTAAGAATTGTGTCGTGATGCCGACATGCGGTCACCAGGTCGCTTTTGCATGGTTTCTAGTGTCGGTGCGTTTGGTGCGGTTGTGGGTCGAGAGTGAGTTGTCGACGTCTGCGGTCGTGTGTCACCTCCCGCTGTCGACGGGCGATGGGAGTGGACGTGACTGAGAGCGTGACCGCCGAATTGGGCAGCCCCTTGAGCCAAACTCTGAGCGAAAGGCGAGCGCTTACGCAGCGTCGGACCCTTCCAGTAGATGACGTATACTGCAATAACCAAAACGAATGCGATACAGAAGAGGATTGTTGACGCGTACTGCAGGTTCAGACCCTTCTCAGCGCCGATGTTGGTATAGAAGGGAGTCGCCGGGAGGGTGAGAACACCGGCCAAGAAGTCACGTGCCCAACCGTTACCGCCAGTAGCTGAGGCAGAGTAAGGTCCGTACGCGCAGATCATGTAGTCAATTGTAGCCATGTAGATGGCGTAGTTGGCAATGCCGATTATGCACGTGCCGAACATAGAGCCAATCCAGTGTAGCGGCGGGCCACCGCTCGTCCAGGCGAAGATGATGAGACCGATAGGCAAGCACGGGACAAGCCAGAGCAGAAGAGAAAGACGGGACTCGTACTGGGCATGCTCGTCTTCGGGATGTTTTTCGCGACGCCTCTGATTTCGCTTGAAAGCCGGCAGGAAAAGAAGCCAACCGAATACATAACCGAGACCAATAGGGACAAAAGCGAGACCGATCTGCCAAGAGTTAAAGTTCCAGCGTTGATAAACTAGAGCGAATGATTGGATCTGCATGAATATGAGGGCGTCCGAGAAACCAGAGAGTAACGACAGCGTCAACACGATAGGCTCGGTTAGGAACATACGGAAGGGGCGAAGCCAAGTGAAAATGAGTTCCTTAAACGTGAATCGACTCCAGAAAGATTCTATCTCATCGGGGCCGTAAACGTTGGGATCCTCGCCACTCTCTCGACGCTTCTTGGCAATCTTGTTCAGCATGATTGTCGTGCGTGTCTCAGGTACCGTGAAAAGATGCAACAGTTGCACAGCTCCGCCGAATATCAGCTGGATCCAGGTACACCACCGCCACGCCTGGTGCGGGGGAAGGGTCTCTACGAAACCACCTACGATGGGTCCGAGAATAGATCCGCCGACGGAAGAGAAGACACTATAAACGAATCGAAGTCAGTATGCATATCATCTTCATCGGCCCGCCGTATTGAATTAGAGGTTCTAAGAGGAACGCTATCTAATATTCCAGAGATCGAACGGATGGGGAACTTACATATAAGCCACGGCATATTGTTGCCTGTCGCTTTCGAACATATCGGCCACCATACCGAGTGTCACACTTCCTCCAGCGGTAGAAAGACCTCCGAGGGCTCTCCCGGCTAGCAGGCAGCCGAAATTGGGAGCAAGAGCGACCGGTAGGGTGAAAATATTGACGAGAAACATAGAAGCCTGTAGGATAGGCTTCCGACCAAACTCTTCAGACCAAGGAGCCCATAACTCACAGCCAAAAGCGTAGGTGATGAGGAAGATGGCTGCACCAAGACGGGCGGCTTGCTTGCTAACGTTGAATTCCTCTGAGATTCCTTCAAGGCCATTCGAGTATAAAGAGGTATTAAAGTTCATCGAAGTCTGGACGAGGAAGATGACGGTGAGAATCCACCACTTCTTCCACCAAGAGAAGGCAAAGCCGAGTTCACTCTCGCAGTCTTCTTCCTTTAATTCTCGCTTTCCGGTTTCTGTCTTAATCTTCTCCTTCTCGGCAACCTTTTCGGCGAGAGTCTGGTCGACGGTCGGGCCCACAACCGTGCGACCACCGTTGACGTGACCAACAGTCTCCTCAGAGCTGTAGGTCGGACGCTCGTTGTTAGGCCCGAACGTGGCGGGCCATTCTTTCGAGGCGCCCTCCATAGCTGCTTGATGGACAGAGACACGCCGCAGCAGACGAGTATTTAACCGAGGAGTAAGGCGTTAAACCACAGAGCTAGAGGTATGTCCCCGCAATGAGAAACACTCTACCGGGACCACCAAGACCCGGCAGCAAAGGAGGAAAGGGAGGAGGGATACAATAAACAAAATTAGATCGGGGAGACGTATGGTATGGAGGAGAGGAGGTATGATGTGGGTGGCTTAAGCGGCAGAGTTTGGCCCCGAGACAAAAGGCTGAAGATAAACAAGACGTTCGAATAACGCGCACGCCGGTCTGGGGATAGTCTCCAGTATATATACACGAGGAGACTGCGTGGTCATGGGCATGTGCGTGGGCGTAGGCGTGGAGATTATTAAAGGGCAATAACAAATAGCCAAGATACATATGAGGTATGAGGTATAAGGTATAAGGTATACAACCTAAAAAGAGACTAAGCGACTAAAGGATTAGAGAAGGCGAGACTGATAGAGCCAGGACCTGGCATGAGAGCGACGGAAACCGCAAACAAAAGTGGGAAGTCATCAAGGATCTCGGAGGCCAATCCAGTAACAATGAGGCAGTAGCAGTCAGCTTCTTTGCTTGTATCATACCTGCTACCTTACTTATTACTTCCTTGTAGTCGGTCAGTCCACACTTGCGGATGCTGATGTTCGTTAGATATGTGGTGACATGGGTAATGGGTAATGTACCTAATACTTGAAAAATGTATACTTGACTCTGTCATCTACACGCACGTACATGATGTAGTTGATGTATCGCGGTACATGCACGTAGTACATGTATCTAGCCGACGACAATGGACGTATCTCGGGGTCGTTTATCTTGCTATATTGTAGTTTGCATAGCAGTGGCGAGCAACAAACATAAAGGAATATGTACATAATAAAAATAGTACTATGTAGAAAGGTCGTCGGCGCTACTTCATCGACTACCGCATTTAGAGCTGGAACTACTGGACCCTGCACGTTCCTCTCCCGTAGACGATGTTACCAGGACTACGCCATGAATCAGGACAGGGATAAGACAATTCGAGAGCAGCGAATTGGTCGAAATGGCGGAACTCGCATACAATTCGCGGCGGGCAATCGGGTGGAAGGGGAAATTTGGAATTGGGCTTCTAACAAAGAAAATAGGCAGCTCGAGAGTGACTTTAACCCTTCGACCCGCGTTCATAGGTATGACGACAGCATTCGGCTGCAGGGTCTGCAGGTTGGGCTGCTCAATGTTTCCTTCGTCTGGCAGGCCGATGGCCTGCTTTCAACCGAGGGAAATCGGGACAAATCCGACAAGACGAGATGTCCATTACGCTGGTAAGGTACGTTGGATATGTTGGATTGGAAGTGTTGGATTGGATACGTTGGATGAGGAGAGCTGGCAAATCCGGGGCTCCCCCTTGGGGTCAACCGGATGTAGGATTCATGTCAGACGACCCCATGTCTATGCAGCCCGAGGCACACGCCTCTTGTGATTTTCGACATCTTTTTTTTCTGGGGAATGCGGGAAATAATTCATGTTTTATTCATTCCCCCCTTTGATTGTTTGGTTCTTTTTGTGGAAAAGCAGTTGGGGAAAAATGGGGGGGATGGGGAAGGAAATGGGGGACACAGGGACGAGAAGCCAAAAAACTGTAAGTTTGGTACACAGAAGAATCAGCTGCACGTGTACCTCCTACATAATGTACATAACAATGTACGTATCCTATTCCGAATTATGTACGTCCCATATAATTGATGTATCTTTCCCTCTTAAGGTATTTCCTTCGCAAGTATTATGTACCTTCTTACTATCAATCTTACTATCAATCTTACCCTCCATCACGCATTTTTAAAATGTACGCATTTACGCATACAGCTTTACCGAAGCGGGCACAAAGAAACTCGAAATCGCAGATGACCGAGACTAGACAATAGGAACTCGCAAACAAAGTGAGAATGACGGAGTCAGCCATGAGCCTCACCAACGAGATTACCATCTGATGTCATGGGAGGGGAGTACTCAATATGGGGAGTCCTTGGGGGGAAACTTGGGGAGTCGTACGGGGAGTCCCATCACCGCTTCTCGCTTGATACCCTAACGTAGCTTGCGTAGCTACTGGGACTTCTCGCCTATTTACCTGCTGCTACCTAGCTGCTACCTGGCTACGCAGCCTGTCCACGGTAGCTTCGGCCTGTCTGGTCTGGCCTGCCTGGCCTGTCGACTACCGCGCATAGGCCCATTAAAATCCATCAAACCCCATAAAATCCCACGAGAGCCCATAAAAAGGTCAGATGGTTGGGTTGCACCGGTTGCACACGACTCCACGAAAAAACACCGCAGAATTCCGCGATCCCGTCTTGACTTGCGTGCCTATGTAAAGGGCATACATGGCGACACGACCCTCCGCAAAAAGGAGGGCGCCATTGGACCTCGCTACTATATTTCGGTAACCAATTCGAACGCGAGAGACTTCTTCTAGTTGCGTACATGGAAAACGACACGTTTGCTACCCAACAGCAAACTGCCGACTTATTACGTGGGGTTAGGCCTGTTCGATCACATTTCCTATTTCTTGACCTCCCGACCTCCCGGCCTTGTTTCTGCTTAGATAAGTTAAGAGGTACCTAACATAGTACTCTGGTAATCCTATGTAGGGCTAGGTGTGGACCGAGGCGAGGAGCGGCGGAGCTGAAGTCACGAGAACCCACACCGTCACCTGCCCTTGAAAATTTCACCCGGCATTGATAGGGCGTAGAAAATCAATGGTCAAAAAGGCACGAAATACGCTTTTTTCAAGACGCCAACAAGAGCGACAATGATATGGACGGTTGAAAAGAAACTTGCGGCGAAAAGACAAGCCTCGGAATAGCGGCGCTAAGCTTCTTTACAACTTAGTACCTGTCAACCATTGCCATATACGTCATCACGAACAGGCATAAATTGTCTAGCTTGCCGTGAATGGCGAGGGTTTAGGGGCTAGTCTTCTTTCCTGGACCTTGCGCTTGCTTGATTCCTAACCGTATTTAAGTCTAGTAAGTCTAGGCAAACGCCACATCGGTGCTTCTGCGCGTATTCACTCCCTCTGCCGACGCGGCGGCTTTGCTGTTTCTCTTTGAAAAGTCGCCGCAACATGGATCATGACCTTGGCACGCGCGGAATCGGGAGCTAGAGTTAGCGGAGTTAGTTCGACGACGAAATCGAGAAACCTTGGCGTGACCGTGACCTCACCGAATGGCCTACCAACTTGAGCCGACTTCGTTGGAATTACTCAAGCTGTCAAGTCAAGCTTTTTGTCTTTTTTCGTGCTATTTAGGATTCCGATCCTTGTAGCTATGATAGCGTCTCCTCGTCATTATCCATTGTTTTATGACAACCCCTATCCGACCCCCCGTAATTTCTTCAGAATTTCAATTTCAATGTAGCATTTGTGAAGAAATCGCTCAATCCTAAAAAATGACTAAAATCGATGAACGACGTTTCCCCTTACATAGTATTGCAAACGACTATCGTTGCCTTATAAGCACGTCGGTCATTTATTAGACGCTATCAAGGCTACATAGTCCGCATGTCCGCCCCCTGCTCTTCGGTCCGGGATACTATGTTCGTTCCGCCAATCCTTACGCCAACCAGTGAACAATCGAACAATCGAAATACCCAGTCGAGCCTAGTCGACCTTTTACGCATGTAATCCGTACCTCGACATGCTTCGCGACGAGCTATCCTACGCTGGGTAACCCGTTCTAATTTCTCACATGCTTGGAAATAGTTCGGCATTTAGAACATTAACAAAGCTTCAAGTTTTCTTTGAGTTTCTTCCTTCGTTGTTTCGCAGTCACTAGACTTTAAAACCACAAACCAAATTCTACTCCATGAACACCAACACTAGGATTCATAAGATTCCAGTCGGGTGACGATAAGCATTCTGAGACGCCATCGGCGGAAATCATTATAAGGTTGAAAAAATAATAAAAGGCTGCCTTGCGGAGACGGCAAAGAGCGGACTCGTCCTTACGTACCTTCTCTAGACCCCGACAGTTAATGGGGATAACTACATCACAGTTTGTGATGATCCATTTTCGATATCAACCTTCCGGGCTGGACCAATTCTGAGACACTTCCCGTCTGCGTTCAGTCAACACCAGCTAGAAGAGCGGATACCCATATCTTTCGCTACCGGAATATTTAGTAATTAGAATGCGGAGTTGATCCGAATAGGAGCCTACATAATAGCGGTTAGCCGTGATGATTTCTTCCGCATGCCACAACCTAGCTTTTAAGCGAAGCGCGGAGAGTCTAGTAGGAGCCGCAACTAGACCTTAACTTTTGCCCACGTAACGTAACTTCGCCCAGGCTTGTCAGGTTACCCGCTGCATTAGTTTAGACGCTAAATGAATGGACCATGAAATAACAGCCCTTAACAAGTTTCAACTTCTTAGAAACCATCGTATTGATAGAGTTGCCACCAATAAATCGATACATACTGGTAAATAATAATGAACCTATAGTCTGAGCGACAAAAGTCGACAGCGCATAGGGGTACGATAATAAGCTCTGCTGGTTAGAGTAGCGTAGTACCGGCTACGAATAATATCCAGACTGGTACAGATACCTACGAGGAGATAGTCGAATTAAACGTATCCGTAAATGTAAGAACTTGACGGCTGAGAAAAGGTTAGTAAATGGAGCGACAAGCGAATGAATTATTTCATTTACCAGTCCCTTGTACCGGTATAGAATATGACTATCAGAGTCTGTGGGTCTTCCGTAGAAAAGTATTTCTCATAATGTTGCACCAAATCTCCTCGATCCGTAGCATTGGAAGGCGATGGCTCTTCCAACCGCTCGGAATCGGTTGACATCACTGGATCTAAAGTTTTTTTTTCTTTAGCTCGTGGGTTGACTGTGATCCCCTTAAGGAAGCTATGTAACTTCGAGCCTGGACCGAGCCCCCTCACCCACTCTCGGTTGAGACGAATACATGCAAGACATGCATGGCTATCTACGCCCTCCAACCGGCAATCTAAATGGGACAGACTTCGGATTAGTCCAGAACTCGTAGCTTGCAGTTGGTACGTGTGCTTGCGCAGTATGCAAGAGGCGAACGTTAGACAAGGACGAGCCTGCATATAAATGCGGCCGCCATAGGGCGGGCAAGATGTGCTGACGCCCACACCCCCTCCCCCCCAACGAGACAAAAGTCGAAGTCGAATACTAAAGCAAGAAGCAAGATCTATCAGGCACAATCGTTGCTACACAGTCAGATGTCAGATTCAGATTTGTGGGAAATCTTGACCAGTGCTGCCCGTAGGTTGCTATGCTTGGCTGGGGTAATACCGGCCAAAATACTTCCGCCCGCGATAAATCACTTTCAAGATTATTCCATATACCACGGTTACACGTAAGTCGCGACCTCCTTGAACATATAAAGACGGACAGTAATATAGGCTCGATGAATAAAATTTTGTTGAAATATGTTATGAATAAGACGGCCTGAGAATCGAACCGCGGTGAACATCAATTATAGATTTTTCTATATCACGAGTAGCTTATCGGGCATCCAAACAGGTTGCACCATAATGAGTAAGCTGACTTGGCGAACGACGACAATATTCAATATCGTAGCGAAGCTGTACAAGATATCGGGTTCAGCCCGGTAACCAAGGACTGCCGGGAGTGGCCGTGGCTTTTATTTGGGGGCGCGACGGTGTGTAATACTAATGGTACAGTAACTATGCGGCCGTGCTACAGCTTCTCGTACTGCATCGACGACATTCTTAATCAACCTAATCAGATCGAGAGCAGATTTCTAAATCAATATTAAATCCAGTCGTACTCGACAATCACTCGCTCTTACGGTTAAAATCAGGGTCTCCACGGCAATTCAACAGCCCCCAAATCCCTTGTCATAGCTAGTCTCAATTATCAGAGCCCTATATGTACCTCTTACCACTCCGCTTACAATCCTTTACGGTTGAGTTAGGTAGATACGCAATCTGAACCGACAAATAATATTCGCAACGCTGAGCATTGTCGACAATAGCCTCTGTATGTAGACAAAGTGCTGTGATAGTTTTATAAACACGCATTCTGAAGAAAAATGATCTTGCTCCTGAGAGGATTGAGGTTTAGACAGTAGGGGGGAAGACGGCAAGCCAGAATGTCGAATATACGATTCGCAAGCCTTAGCACATATGCATCGTTCCATCTCAAACCGTAGCACTCATGCTGTAACACAAGACGTGTAATAAGGCCGCATTCGAGGCCATTTGCAATTTATAATATCCAACTCCAAATATCCTAGTTAGAGGTCTTACAGAACAACCAGCTTCCCATGCAAAAAAGATCCTAGTATACTTGCTCCGAATAGACGCTAGCCCTGCAGTCAAGCAAGGATGGCGGCACGGATGATCTTCAACGCTCTAACCTAGATCCTTTTGAATCCTTCCCGAACAATCACTTATGCAAGTTCCAATTTAGCGATTCAAGATTGGGCAGCCCGTAACTCGTATCGTTTCGGAGGTCTATTCCATGCGTGTGGACTGGTTCCCGCAACTCCATTCGGACCTGTCCACCGGCCTTGCATATCTGATTATGTAGGTAAGTAGGTACGTCGTCGTCGCTGAGAGGTTGATGGTTTCGACGGTAGCGACGTACCATGATTAATTGGCCGATTTCAGCTGTCTGCATAGCGGGCGAACACTGGTGGCAGACAAGGTTCGAGATGAGATCTCGTGATCGATAGAAAATTATAGTTTGCTATTCGACTAGGGTTTGAGTCGTCATGGATTCCGATGTCTTACCTAGGTCGGGAATCACGGCGCATATTGTTGCCGCAATGGGCTGACAGCGACAGGAACGTAAGAAATCAGTAATGCAGCTAATTCTATATCATCCGGGACCGAATGAATCGGCAGAACCCTAAATGTGCACCAAGCGAGAGGAAATGAGAGACTTAAACTACAAGTCTCTTTCGAGTGCTTATGACCGGCGTCCGCGCAGAGGAAATGAAAAGAATTGCTTCTCATCGATTCGCTAATGTCATACTAATATTTTCAAATAGCTTCCTAGAATATCCGAGCAGCGCTGGATTGCCAACTATCAAAGTATACGTCTTTGACGTCTTGGTCGTCGGTAGTAGTTTGTGTCTTCGTGGGCTTGAGATCCCCCCCTCTTTCAGCGTCCTTCTCAATAGGCTCGCGAACCGCGTTGTCTTCAACTATACACTCTGGCTGACGTAGAGTAGGTAACGACGCAGCGCGAGGTGGTTTCTTGCTCACGTGCCAGTTTTGATTCGCACCGGTGCACTCTGGGATAGAATCCTCGGGCACTTCAACTAGACCACCGTTGGGTCCGGGGACAAAATGGCGGGCAGGAAGGATCTCAACCTCGTATACAGGCTGGATTCGATGATATACGTCATGATTATGGATCTCGCGGTATATCTGTTCTTCTAGAATCTCGTGCACCTGAGGGCGAATGGTTTCGTGCGTAACCGCTGGCGGATATATTTAGCTAACTAGATTTTCCAGAGTTATTACAGCGGGCCGGACTCACCTGGTGCATAAGTAATAGTCTCGTCGGTATCTACGGTATCCCTGAGGTCTATGACGGTCTTCTCACCCCCTGCACCACTACGTTCTCCTGGTCGAGTAGCGTTATCCTCCTTGTGAAGTATCTCTACGGGACGGTCCGGCTCCCTCATAGATGGAGCTAACTGTCTGTCTTTACTATGTTGTATTTCTGTTGACGACTTTTTTGGTTGCTCTTCCGTGCTGGCTAGTTTATCAGAGTAAAAATGCCCAGGCATATCTTTCCTAGTCACATCTTTCCTATGATTCTTTACCAACATGTTTCTCTGACGCTCCGAGATCTTCCCAATCGACGTTCCTAGGTTTGGCTGTACTGCGACGAGACTAATTGTATTTGTATTTGCCTCATGTTGAGAATTGGGACTCTTGTGTTCGACTGTTCCATGTTCCACTGGGCTCTCATTGCCCTTTGATAAATTAAGACCTGTAATATGTCGATCCTCTTTCGTAGTCGAATGACGACCATTAGATCCGAGGCTTCGTCGGGCGTCCGATAGCCTCGCCGTATTCCTCTCAGGGGGGACCGGACTTTTCTCATCGTAACTTCGTCTCCTTATCAGAGCTTTAAGTCGACGCATAGTACGAATAATAGATTCGTGGGTAGAATTAATCAAATAAAAGCCCTGGTACCTCCTTGGCTAATATTGGTTGGCTTGATAGTTGCTTATTCCGCCAAAAGGAAAGAGCAATTATTTTCCTAGAGCCCATCTAGGTGCTGCCGTAAGTTTGTATTAAAGATTCGTGAAATATCTATGAAAGCCCGTGTTTGGTAGGCTAGAAGGAAGTATGTGGATCATAACATTATCTCTAAATCCGTCACGACAAGTGGGTAATTTGTAGGTTTAAACGTCACCATGTAAGTAGCGGTCTATGGGCGTCATACCGTGTTACTACAATTTTGGAACGACAGCTGACTGGCATAGGAAGTTTAGACGGAAATCCTTTAAATTCAGCACTTATGTCTTCAAGCTCCCCTTAAAAGTCGCCGCAAAGCCTCATCTAATAAAGGCTATGCGACAGGATTTGGATTTCAGGATGGTTCAGGCTAAGATCAATTACGACATGACCGAGTCAATCGAAGCATTTCTTAGACTATGATTCGTGAGAACCAAGGAATTTGACTCTCACTTAGGTCGAGACGGCAACGTTCTAGTTCTAAGTAAACTTGTCGATAGTCACTAGCCGAAGAAAAGATAGCACTGCATCCGGATATGCTTAGAATACAACACGTCATTATTGCCGACAGATTAGCAACCGGTCAAGCTACTATCCTCTACCCCCTCTTGCCATAATCATATGGCGTGTAGTATTAGATCCTTGACGTACATTCCTCCACTTCGTAGAATCCACCCACCCCGTCTGAAACAGCTGCGTTGACGTGATTGGATACTCCGGCAGATAATGGCCTAATTCAGTAACTCTCAACTAAGGACAAATATTGACGGCGATTCTGGAATCTAGCTTGTTGTCTATTACGTCGATCATTTATCTATCTCATTATATATAAACCTTTCTTTCCAGCAATGTTATTTCGATAAATTATACTTCATCAAACATCTTCCATCTCTACTCAACACCCAACATAACACTATTCAATATGAACAAGACTAAGGAAGCAATTCGTGATTTTATCGGTAAATCTGGTCACCATGATACTACCGTACACGAATCGGTTGAGCCAGCCGTGAAGAAGGAGACCATTAAGCCAAGGGAACACGAAGAGGTCAATACCGCTGTGAATAAGGAAATCCACCAAGATCATTATCATCGTACTGTACAGCCAGTTCATGATCAAGAAGTTCTCCCCGAGCAGCACCAGCATAAAGTCGGGGCGGTCCAACATCGAGACTATGATCACAGGGACCACGACACCACAAAGAAGGCATTGGCCGCCGAGAATGAAAAGTTTAGAGACGAACAAGTCATCCATGATACCAAACACACACAAAGTCATGCCCCTACAGTTCAGGGAGAGCATGTTCACCAGTAGGTTCTCTCAACCGAGCAGTTGACTTGTAGCAAAAAGCTAACACCTTAAAAGTCATGTCCACGAGACAGTACAGCCTGTGCTTCACAAAGAAACCATTCAGCCCAGCGTAGTCCACACCACGGTGCCAATTCACGAGACTCACCACAACCCTGCTCAGCACCACTCTACAACCTCTTTGCCTCCGGTCAGCGCAGAAGAATACCGGCAGCGTGGAGGCGCGTTAGCTGGGGAAAAGGAGCGCTTTGATGCTTTCGAAGGCGAGCCGAAGACCATTAGAGGAACTCTCGAGACTATGCACGAGAAGGGTACCGGTCTCAAAAACCCCCCTGATGGGGTTTTTCATGGAGATTTTGACCCCTTGGATGGAGGCCGAGACCACCAAGTATCTGGCGGGTCAAAGAATGGTCGGGCTTCTGCCACAACTTCGGGTGCAGGTGTAAATCAAGGCATGACCAGCCAGTCTTCTGTTCAGAGGGAATATCGCGACACTGCCAGGGGAACATCGGGTAATCTGGAGACAGAGCGCCACTCCAACGCTTCCAGAACCGCGGGAACTACAGGGACTACGGGTGCTACAGGAACTACGGGCACGAAAGAGCACCCGAGCCTTTTGGACAAGTTGAATCCCATGACAGATTCGAACGGGGATGGAAAGGCTGGATTTATGAAATGATAGTAACGAATTGGAGATTGATCAGTAACTAAGGGGCACCTAAGTGTGGAGATTGGTTTATCTCGAAGTAAAGGACGTTTAATATTAACTCAATAAATACAATGATAATCGCAGCGAACTACTTTAACTTGAGGTACTCCGCGGTCTAACCAAATTGCAATAGTGATCAAAGAGTGTCATTAATTATATTGTATTAATTGACAGTTAAAAGTTGGAATTGAAAACTAAGGTAGAAAATACATCCGATTTGATTGATATAGTATACCTATTGTTGAAGAGAATCTAATGAAGGTGACAACTCCGAATACATATATCTTGGATTAAATCTTTGTACGAAGTATAACGCGTATATATGTCATAAATCTAAAGTCTTTAAAGTTGTGCAAAAGCCTTATACTATAATTTTAAGTAAAGACACCGGTATAGTGAACTTAAGAAAAACCACAAAGAGAAAATAGTTGAGATTTAAAAATTCGGTTGAATATATCAAAACGGACTCAACATGGTAATCCCGATTATGATAGGATGGATGGATGTAAGTCACAGATAGTTAATTCCGAACCCAGGCTGGATTGCACACCTTAGGCCATAAGGAACCTAAGAGTACCTAACATATAGTTATGTCAATGCCATGCTGTCTATGTCCATTTTTAACGGCCACGATCTTTTAATGAATTCAAGTTTTTTTTCTCATCCCCGACACTATGGGTACGCCGCGCCTCTGTCAAGCAAGTCGGTTTTTGGTCTTTAGGGCCGTGCGAGATGCTCGATTCGTTTAAGCACCAAGTACTTGTGCTGTCCACACAAGTTCGTCGCACCCTAACGGGTACGGTGCACCATTAGTACACAACCGATAAAATAAAAAAAACGGATGAAAATTTGTCCGACTTAGCATATATGCTATATTTACAGCGTTTATATACGTTAAAGCCCATTATAAATACAGGGCATTACAATGATACATACGTTAAAATTATAGCGTTTTAAAAAAAAAAATTCCGAAGTTAAAATAAAATTTATTAAATTTATTAAGTCCATTATAATTATAATAAATTTAACGTATATAACCATTATAATTATAATAAATTTAATAGATTTAACTTTATTATAAAAATTTTCTTTTAAAATATTTAAATATTTATTTATTTAATAAGGTAAAGGTAATACATATTAAATAAATAATAATAATGATTATATATATTAAGTTTATTATAATTACAATGGATTTAATAATATTTTTAAAAGTTAAATTAAAGTTTTTATAATAATTATTTACAATTAATAAAATATTAACCAATTAAAATTTTATATATAAATAATTAAATAATAATAATATATAAATATATTTTTTTAATATTTTATATGTTAATTTTTAACTTTAATAATAGTTTCGATTTAATTAAATATTAAATTTATTAAATTATTTATTATATTTTAAAAAACGTTAATTTAATACTTTTTAATAACTTTAATTAATTTAATTAAAACTTTATTAATTTTTAAAAAAACTTTTAATTTAAAATATTACTTATTAATTTTTTATTTTAATTAAACTTATAAATTTTTAATAAAATTTAAATTAAAATTATAAAAAAGCCATTTTAAAACGGGGAATTTAAAGTTTTTAAATTAATCTTTTAATAATTATAAAATATAAATAAACATATTATTATATATAAAAATAATATTAAATTTTAATAATTATAATAAGTTATTTTTAAAAATATTTTAATAAATAATAAACATAATATTATTTTTAAATGTTTTAAAATCCCCGTTAAAAATTATAATATTATTTTTTATTTTATAACAAATTATACTTTAAAACATTTTAAAATATTAAGTTTTTTATAATCAATTTATATATATTTTAAATTTATAATTAATAAATTTAATTTAAAAAAAACGGTTAAAAATTAATTATATAATTAATTATTAAAGTTATAAAATATTTAAAAAAAATTAATTTATTTTTAAATTTAAAAATTTACTTTTAATATAAATTTTAATTACGTTTAATTATAATTTTATTTATAAATAAAATCTATTATTAATAATTAAATGGTTTATTACAATTTTCGTAAATTTATTTATATTTAATTTTAATATATTTTTTTAATAAATATAACTTTATTATAATAAAAGTATATAATATACCTTTATTAATTAAAAATTGATTAATAATCTTTAATAAATAAATTAAATAATATAAAAAAATTCTTAATAATATTAATTAATAATTGTTTTTTATTATATTTATTTATTATTTTTAAACAATTATAATTAAGCGGAAAAATATTTTAATTTTAATAAAAAAAGTATTTTTTAATTATACAGTAAATAAATATAAAAAATCCTTTAATTTTTATTACTTTTATAAATTTTTAACCTGTTTAAAATTATGCTTATATTTTATTTCTCGTATAAGATATTATATATTTTTTATAAATTTTTTAACTGTATTTTAAGATATAAACTATTATTTAAAAATAAAGTTATTTTAAATAATAAAGTTGGATTTTTTAAAAAAGGTTAAAAGTAAAGCTAGGTGTGCGGTTTTTTTATCCATTAATTATAATTATAAGGCCTTTAATGGGTACGTGCGCTATAATTATAGCGCTTACGCCAGCTAATCGGACGAATTTTCATCCGTTTTTTTGTTTTATCGGTTGTGTATTAATGTGCCACCGTATAACGGGTGCTACGCTTTAATTAAGGATTAACCTTATAATTAAAGATTGATTTAAAGTATTTCCGAATAGGAGCGTTTCCTATATACCTTAAAGGTATTTTCCAACTTTTATCCATTTTCACACTATTTTCATAATTCCTTTTCCTTTTTAAGATTTTAATAAACGTGAGAATAGTTTCTTATTTATTCCAACTTTTGTAACGCTACCCTCAATTCTATGGCTAACCCTTAATTAAAGCGCAGCACCCGATAGGATGCGACAGACAAGTTTACGTAGCCAGCGCAGGTAACCTCAAAAACCATTTCCTTCGATTTAATTAGTTTAAACTAATCATCTATGCAATTCTTAAGTAGTATGTGTCACGAGGTGGAACCAAGCAGTAGGGAAACAACTTCGTTGTTCCGCAATGAACTCTAGATGGAACATCTAGAATCCTGACAGTATGCGGGGTTTACCGCTATTGAGTGGAGACTGATGTCTTGAAAGGAATCAAGAGTCATGTGCTATGTACAATAATATATATCGCTGTCGTATAAAGGGAACCTGGATAATATGTGTATTAAATACCTTAAGGAAACTGCAAAGGTTATATAACTTGGGTAATTATAACAGGTACCTAGTTAACCAGGGGATCGATAGCTAAGGAAAGTTACAATGGTCGGAATAGTGAGGTGAAAAATTGTAAAGGACTGTTACGATATGAATCGTACGTGATGAAGTACGCAGGATGACGCTACGATCCGAATAAGGAGTCTACATGTAGGGCGACATCGTGACCGACAGGGTCATATCGAGAAAAAAAAGAAGGGGGAACTACCATTCGCATATTTCATGGCAAACGCAATAGTTACCTCCGGGACGTGACGATTAATAACGCAGCCTGTTGCCTATTTGATTTATGGTTAAATAAGTCTCTGGCTACGACCATGCTATCGTCTCGCAGAGAAGGCTAATATATAACATACATAGCAAAATGTTGAACTAATGGACCCTGTCAATCGCTTGAAAGATATGAATTTATCACCGCCAGCCCAAGGTTTTCCTATCATCCAGACCAGCTTCGATGTACGACCAGACTGCGGCGAGGATAGCTACAGAGGAATGGGCTGCCTTCAAGGTTTCAAAGCTTTAATAACAGGTGGAGACTTGGGAGTTGGAAGATCAGTCGTCGTCGCATTTCTCCGCGAGGGAGCTAATGTAGCTATCAACTATCTCCCAAAAGAAGAACCTGACGTGGACGACCTTGCTGATTTCATGAGCGACGAAGGATTATCATTCAAGCGCATTCCCGAAGACTTACTAAACGAGACTTTCTGTACGGAGTTGGTACACGAGGCGGCGAATCGCCTTGGAGGGATTGATATTATGGCTCAAAATGCGGCGTAAGCTAATGAGCTAATCCCAGGGCATATTAGGTTGACTAACTGGCCACTAGATACTCTGAGATCCTCTTAGGCTTGAAATTGCAACCTATAACGAATCAGTCCACCGAACAACTCGAGCAGATCTACCGCACTAACGTCTTCGCGACATTTTTCCTAACCCGCGCGGCCGTGCCTCTGCTACCCCGAGGTGGTAGCACAGTCTTCACCACTTCTGAGATCGTCAACTCACCAGACAGCAACGCGGTGGACTATGGCTCAAGCAAGGCTGCTATTAGTTATATGATCTGTAGCCTCTCAGTGTAACTCGCCCCTCGGGGAATCAGGGTAAACGGCTTTGCCCCAGCCCTTATCTATATCCCTTTCTTGGCCAGTGTCGACTTTACGGCGGAGGCAATCTCCCAGATTGCCGCATCATGTCCATATGGTCGTATAGAGTAGCCGGGTGAGTTGGTCCCGATATACGTCAATCTGGCCGACCCTTTGGAGACATATACGGGCGGAAATATCCGGTCGACTAGTGGTGGTGCTCCTGGATCTGTCTAAAAATTAACTGGATGGTTAACCTCATAGCGTCTCAAGAGGGCCTTGCGCTGTTGGATACATGATTAAAGAAATATTTATGTACGGAATATTATAACAATTAATATGAATAGTTACTAGGCACCCTAACCCTAACTGCCACCCGTCTCGCGTCGTGTTTCAATCTCAGGCTTTTGTTCTACACATCGGCTTACCCTTTCTCCATAGGCGCATCAACTGGCATTGGGGGGGGGGCATACAGGCCATACAGATCAATGCGATCGGGACGCTCTGGGAGATCTGCGCTGCGATTTTATGTTTTTTCAAAGATGTTCTCGACTGGCGCGCGAACGTGTATTTTGTCGCCGGCTTCAGGCGTCTGTCAATTCTTAGGTCGTAGAGATAGATGGAGGGTGTCGTGGTTTGGTTTAGGATCTAAAATGGGCTTGACTCATATGGCAGTTAATGGCTGCTAACGAGTTGCTCCGAATAAGACCTATACGAGACCTTGAAGTATTAGGTGAAAAGAAGCGAATGAAAGTTAGAAAAGGAGAGTCAAATGCACTCAGTAGGTAGGCTTTAGTCACTATAATACTATGCCGCCGAGGCGTATCAACCTGGAAATAGGTAACAACATGAGTTAAGATCTAATTTTCTTGCAATAAAGGAGATTTAATATTTCTGGTCATGATTGAGCACGAAGACCATTGATTAGAATGATCACTTTCGACAACTCTTCGGATATTAGCTGAAGCTTTATAAATTATACCCAGCTACCCACCCCATTTTCATGGGGATCCTTTTCGACTATTATGAAAAAAGAAGTTGTGGGAGCCTTATACGGTTTCATAAAGTAGAAAAGAAAAGAATCGAGGCGCGAAATGTGGCTGGTCCGGGTTGCAAGATCAAGACACCTATCGTTGACTGCGGGGAATTATCTAACCATGGGTAACAGACACCCAAGAGGTAGGTAGGTAGTGTATACGAGATGTCTACTACCATATAGAGAATACTCTATGGATATTTTCATATTAGAGGACGTATCGACTGCGTGCTTATTAGCATATGCCGAATAAAGGGGGCCTGGGACAACTGACAATGCAAGATTTTCCCTATCAGTCAGGTCCAATTGTCTCGCGTCGACTATCTCTTCCCGCCGCTCGCCGCTTTCGTCAATATGCTCAATGACTCCGACTTCTCTAATAGCCCCGCGTTTATCTAGCAAGTCTCTCCTTTTGTTCTCCTTAACCAAATACCATCGAAGGTAAAGGACGATAAACGTCGGAAGCACGCACGCGACCCATAGAATAACCCACCAAGTCACGATATACCTAGGCTTGTATTGTTCTTGGAACAGCTGAGGCGAGAGAATATTGCCTAAACCATACCCAACATGGTACAGAGCGATAACAGCGGTCTTCTTCGTATGTCCCGCCGAGCAGTTGGCCGCCCAGATCATAACCACGCTGTAGGGAATACCCCCTGTAGATCTAATCCATGTTGCCGACAGAAGACCCCAACGGTTGCTCCAAGGAAGAGTGATAAGAAGTATACTGGAGATAATGGGTGGTATATACGCAGCAGCAGAGAGCCACGCTCGACTGTTACGCGTCTTCGACAATATTAGGGCGGCAGCTCCAAGAGACACTAAAGAAGTAAGACCGGTAATGCAACCCAACAACGTGGTCTGTAGCGTGGTGAAGCCAAATGATTTGATGATAAGCGAGTACTGGTTGGTTAAACCGTTCGCCATTTCTTGGGACCACGCATGGAGGAAGAAGAGCCAGGTCTTGGGATCCTTCAGCGCTTCAACTAGCTGGTGGCGCTTGAAATGCTTTTGCTCAATCCCCGAATGGTTCGAAGCAATGCGGAGGATAGATTGTGCTCTTTCTTCGAGGGTCAGGAAGTGGGCAGACATCGGATTGTCCGGGAAGAAAAACCAGACGAAAACGCCGTATATAATAGTTAAGCCTCCTGTGACGACTGTAGGAAATATGTTAGACAGTTCGCGAGGCGACGGTGAGAGGCCTACCCATAAACCACTTCCAAGATGAAAAACTACCCGTATCTATCCACAAAACTCCGTATGACAGCAATCCTGAAGTTATAGGGCTTGAATTTCCCGCAGCCCACATTATGGGCATCAGAACTGCTTGCTCGTCGTATGTGAAGAACATCGATAGCGTCAATAAGAAGGCAGGCACAATACATGCCTCCGCTAGCCCAAGAAAGAAGCGAACGACAAAAAGAGACGCGAAACTATTACATGGAATATGTAGTAGCAAGATGGACCCCCTATTAGGGTTAGCAAGACGTCAACCGGCATGATTCATAATTAACTTACCAGACGACGAGATTTCCGGCCAGCCACTTTGCGACTGGGAATCGTTGCAGCGCCCAGTTTTGAGGCCATTCTGCTAGCAGGTAGCCAAAATAGAAGATTGATGACAACCAGTTGTACTGGCTCGAATTTAGATCCGCGTCCTCAAGAATCCCGAGGATAGACGAACTCCCGAGCTAATTTAGAGACAAGCAATGTCAGATTCGCAGACTTGCATGCTAACAGAAGAAACAGTAAACCGGAATTCTTACTGTCTGCTTGTCAACGTACATCAGGTGATAACCGATGCAGAGGAACGATAATATCCATCGGACGCTCTTCTTACGGATTCGCTCAGCCTCTTCAGCAGTGGGAGGCTCAACCTTGACTTGCGAGAAGAGCTTGTAGCTTTCGTCGGCATACTTGTCAGGCAGTTTCGGGGTCTCGAAAACTACCTCAGCTGAGGACGTCTGCTCGACAGTCTTGGATGTCATGATATGCGGCTCAAACAACAAAATGAATACCAAAAGGCGACTAGATGGCACATGTCTAAGTGAGACTTACCTAGGCAAATATAAATCAAAACTTGTTAAGACACAACTTCAACTGCGTAGCATTCGTCAACCCCCACGCAAATGACGAATACATCCTTGCTAACGGGGAGTGCTTGATCGAGGTCCTATGGCAATAATTAATATACGTTAGTTAAGTCTGCTGCAAGAATTGCAATACGCTTGCATGGGTAGTTATCGGAGGTTTCCCGAAGCGGCGAGGCTATGAGGGGAATGCGGTTGCTGATTGATAAGATATCGCTTCGCAATACCAGTCCTGTCTTGCGCCATCTCGGATCCGTATAGTCGATCACGCAATGCCGACCCCGTCCCGACGTTCAAAGGTTAAGAAGCTGGCTCCGGCTGTACGACAACGTGCGGAAAATCATAATAATTCTATTTTTCCACATTTATTGTTGAGCCATGGCAGACGAATCGAAACTTCAGATCGCAATCATCGGCGCCGGCATTGCTGGTCTTGGTGCAGCTATCGGACTAAAGCATCACCCCGCCATTGATGTGCAGGTATACGAAAAAGCTACAGAACTTAGAGAGATAGGCGCGTCTATCGCTCTTGGACCTAATGGAATGAGAACTCTGGAACGACTAGGCGTCGACAACGCTCTGGATGGCGAAATTGCTTTCCGTAACAAGTCAAAGTATCCCATGATCTACCGGTGAGCTCGTCCGCCTTGGTTTTTGGAATTGGTGGCTAATGGTGGATTAGTCATTGGAAGACGAATGAGATAATATCAACTGATTCTCACGCTGGCGAAGTCGAGTACCGTCACTTGACCGCCCGTTTCCATCGGGCACATCTCCAGGAAGCGCTTGCTAAACACGTCGACCCGTCCAAGATTCATTTTTCCAAGGCTTTCGAATCCGTCAATTTTGACCAAGCCATTCGAAAGTTGGTAATCACGTTCGCGGATGAGACGACCGCTACGGCAGATATAATTCTAGGCGCAGATGGAATTCATTCAGCTGTTAGAACTTTCTTCGTCCCTACCTCCAGTACAGCTTGGACTGGTTGGGTAGCTTTTCGGTCCGTGTTTCCCTATTCTCATGTCGCCCACATCAAGGATCTTCCGGACGAGGCGAACCACTTCTGGGGACCGGATAGGACGTTCTTCATCTCAAAGCTCGGAAGAAACCTTTTCACCGTGGTTGGATCGTACCAGGCCGACCCCGACGCCCCCGATGCCCCTTACAAGGATTCGACCTGGAATTCGGATGGCGACGTGGACACATTGAGGAACTTTTATAAGGACTGGTCACCGCTTGTGCGACAGATTGTCGACGCGGTGCCTAGTACCAGGATTTATCCAAACGCGGCAGCACACCCACTCGAAACGTGGGTATTAGGTGGCGGGAAGGTTACCCTAGCCGGCGACGCCGCTCATGCCCACGGAGGCGCATTTGCAGCAGGCGGTAGCCTCGCCCTCGATGATGCGTGGGCGTTTGTATCGTCGATCTTGTACGTGTTCCCCGAGAACGCAACTAGAAAGCCCAACGACGCGGAAATACTCGAAGCCTTACGTATCTATGAGAAGACCCGAAAACCACACACAGATCGCGTAATGAGTGTTGTCCATCAGAATAATAAGAAAAAGGTGGCGCGATACTCGCAAGCTAGGGATCTGGAGACAGACGAGCAACTAAGGACCCAGATAAAGAACCGCGTAGACCCCAGTTGGATTCACGAACATGACGTTCAAGCCGCGTTTGTGCAAGCAGTTGCGGATGAAACCGCCGATCAAGTCTCGGCAGGGGAGCAGGCAAGATTGTGATTGCGTTCTTCTCTGAAGCCATATAGATAAATCACGATGAATTGCCACAACGTTATCTCATGAAAGCTTGTGAATATGTATGTAGCGCGTATTAAACGACAACGCGAAGTCTGCAGCCAAGACATATAGGAGGTACCTAGGTACCTACCTATAGATTCATTTCGTCAAGGTCTCGTCTGACATTTCAACATACATAGCGCTTTGACTCTTGGTTGGTCTGTACCGAGAACTCTAGTGTAAGCTTACAGCGTCCCCAGCTCTGGCGCGCGGATGGAACATCGATTCTCAAGATGGCGGTCCAGTTAATTATAAACAATTTATTGACTACATACATAGGTATTTACTATGTCTAAGAGGGGAGTGGCAAGAGGGACTTGATTCGCCGGTTCGTTATCGAAAAGGGGACATAGAGCTGCAGTGAGCAATTCGATCCCGATGCCCGAGTTTACAAGGGGTTATTGTGTCGAATTTTTTCCACGGCCCAAATAGGAAAAAAAAAACCCTCCGCCCAAATAGGACATGAGGGCACCCTTGCGGTGCGCCACAATAGCCCGAGTTTACGAACATCAAGTCATAAGTCGATTTATATACGTAGATCACGTGCCGCAGCTGCCGGGGGAAAGGCGGTGCCATTGATAATTACGCAAGGTCGATTATGTAAACTCGGGCTATTTTGCAGCCTCGGGGGTTGCTTCCTGTTACGGATGTTCCTCGACCACCACCACGACCAGAAACTTGCGCCGCATTTAACACCGCCTCTACTACGGATGTTTAACTAGGCTATATCTTTTCTTCGAGATATTAAGATTCACATTGGCATTAATTAGCAAGTCATAATTCTCTATCTCCAAAGATCCTTGCCCTGCGAGTTGATTAGTACTAACTGTGGTCTATATTCAAATGCTAGGAGGAGAATGGGAGAGCGTATAGTTGATGGGTATTTAAAAAAGCAGTTATCCTGTTAGCAAGTGAATGAGTGGATGTCGAATACGGTTGGTTGGACGTGAGGCCGTGGTAAAGGTTGCAAAAATGCTCGGCTAGAAATGCCACTCCGTCTGATCGACGAGCGCGAACTGGGCATTAATAGAACTAAAACCAGCACAGTCTGTCCTAATGTTACAGCTTTAGTCATATATTGCAGTATGCTACTTACTTATTAAAGGGACGTGTCTATCGTGATATTACTCCTGATGAAAGAGGCGGATCCTACGATCAAGATCCCTCACAACAGTATGTGTGTCGCAATGTAGGTTCGGCTTGAATGACGGGCGAAGCATTTTAATACTTGTTAAACATAAGTCGAGTTGCCCCCTTGCTGCGTAAATTTATTACCTTTCAATCATATGAATACGGGGATTCTACGTCTACGCAAAAGTCACACACGCCCAGTATCACACGGACAACACTTCCAAAAGGGTGTTGACCACAATACGAGATGGCCACACGCCAGTCAGCCGATTAAGATAACTACTACCAGAATCATTGGATGAGACCTATCACCAGAATATGCAGGTAGAATGTAAGATAATCAACATATGTTTTAATATAATGGTTAGGTCCCAAAATACGTACCATAGATTGTCTACAAATAGGTCTTGAGTCCTCCTCTACGAAGAAGGCAGAAACCAAGGACCTTCAGACCTTTGAAAATTATTAGTAAATTGAATATACGTCCCAAGCCCACACAGCCCTTATTATACCCAGGATCAGTTTATACCACGATATCGAGAAGAAGGTCTTGTCCAATTGCATACTGGAATTGAACTAGCTAAACCGCCACGATGAAAGTTTCTCCTAACCCCAACCTTCGGCTAAGAAACATACTCGAACAAGAAGATGTGGCTATTGCAACATTTATAACTCTCAAAGGAGTAAGAGCAGCACAGATAATCGCCCACACAGGCGTGGATGCAAGTATAATCCTATCAGGTAGAGGCCAGCTAATAACCTTTTATAGGCGGTGGTAATCGATTGCGAGCATGGTCTGTGACTAGGACGAACTCATGATAAGTTATTAATTATTAAGGGGATACCTGACCTAACATCAGATAGGTAATATCGACGATTCTAATATGCACGACATGGTTGCTGCCGTCTCTGGGTCTGGCGTCTCACCCGTCGTCCGCATACCAAGTCTAGATGGGACATTTATGAAGAGAGCTCTGGAGACTGGAGCCCAGTGAGTAATCCTTGAATGTTTCGTGTAATTACGCAATGAAAGGAGCTCACAGTCATGGGTAGCGGTATCATGGTACCTATGGTCAACACGGCTAAGGAGGCCGAGTTAGTTGTAAAACTAGCCAAGTTTCCTCCAATTGGCATACGGGGCCACGGTTCTTCTTTTGCTTGCCTGGAGCACGGGTTGAAGACGCCTTCGGAATACATTGCGAAGGCTAATCAAAATACCATTACGATGATCCAGATCGAGACAGCTTCGGCTGTGGAAAATGTTGACGAAATTGCTCGGGTAGAAGGCATTGGTAAGTAATAAAAGAGGCCCCTATTTATACGGATATTAATATACACGCAAAGATATCTTGTTCATCGGGCCAAATGATCTTTCCCTCTCCCTCCTTGGATACACGCCTGCGAATTTTACGGATACCGCCTTACTCGAGGCCATCAATAATGTCGTCGCGAGTGCGAAGAGATATGGGAAGAAAGTTGGTATACTGTCAATGGATGGAGAGGCAGCTAAAAAGGCGAAGGAAATGTTTGATCTGATTGTTATAAGTACGGATGTGAGGTCCTTGCAGGCATGGTATGGGAAAGAATTGAACATTGCTCGATCTTAGGGCGCTATGCCGGAAATTTCAAGGGCGTAAGGTAGTCCATAATAATATTGGGTTGTAACTCGTTATCATAACCACAGGGCCAGTTCGTCTACTATGCTACTCTATTCCTAGGAGGCCTCCTATCGATTAATTCCTTCATACGATCGTGGGGTATAGGATCCCAGGGGGTCAACCTGTCGCGTAGAATGTAAGGGTCGTACCTAAAAGTATGAGCGATATACTACGGAAAGGGTCAGACGCCCTACAATATCATCTTTCTATCGAAGGCCCCGATACTACCGAGAAGTTAATAGGCGTTCCACATGTCGATGAATGAACTTACTACTTCTTCGCCGCAAGCTGGCCGATCCTTCTACCGCCAACGATTCCAAAGGTCTTCCCTGTAAGTAACGTGGCTGAATAGAGACTTTTGGATTTCTGATTTAGCCTTTCCCCTCTTCTCATCTTCCTGAATGATTCTACAAGATTCTTTGAACAGGCACCTACGAGCGCTAAAGAAACTTTCGCGGTGCTCATAGCCTAAGCGGAGTAAGCAACTTCAATATGTATGTCTGTGGATAAGCTCATATATACTGATTCCCTAAAGGTTGCATAAAAGAATCCCTTTCTTCTTACATGCCTCTGCATCGATATCGTCGTACCAAGCGCCACGTCGCACGAAGAATTTCAGCTTTTTCGTTTGGTGTGTCAAGTCTGCCGTAACCCTGCTCTTTGCAAAGAATATACCGACGGCATAATCGGGACACGAGGAATGAGAACAATTTTGGGTTAAATGTATCGATACCTACTACTCTAGATATCTCGAAAATCTGTCTTGACCATTCAGGGACTGTGAGCACATGAACTGTCACCCGAATACATAAACTTGAACAACTATAACTTATCTTGTGGGAACCAAATCTATAGGATAGTCAGAGCGAGTTCCATATGCTGCGGCTACGGCTGTGGGGCTCCCAGTCGACCTTGTCTTCTATCAGCTATAACACCAAAGCTGTGCATTTAGTCAATGGTCAATATTACCAAAGTATGATGTGCAGTCGCCCGGCCCACGACTTATATTAAGGGCGATCTAGATATGAAGCTAGTTAGTTGGCTTATATGCGGGCACAACACTGGCAAGATTCAGAGATATGAAATGCTTATTAATAAGCCAGTCGGGCATGATTTCCATTGACAATCAATCAAACCACTGTCCTGGGTATCAATTTTTGATACTGCACTAGTAAAGATCTAGGTTAACCCACTACCATCTAGCTGATAGCATCTAACGCGTAAACGGACAGTAGCACGAACACCACTCTACTCTTTCCTATAGCTGCGAAACATCTTATGTTATCCCGAGCGGTTGTTAACGCAGGTGGTATATAGGTAGTATAGTTGCCTAGTTCTAGATCCGATGCCCGAAGAGGACTTCACGAAGAGAAGAGCTATTAATGCGTAACTTGTTCATCTCCATTCACGCCTCTCTATTGTTAACTTTTAAAAGCTGCCATCGACGTAAACAGCGGAAGGTCAAGTGCTTTGGCATGGCACCGTGTGTGAAATGTACAAATCGACATCATTCATTTATCTTCGATGAAGCAGACAAGAAGGTCGTGGTTTCAGAGAGGCTTCGTATCCTTTATTGGTTTGCTTCAAACTAATATCAGGGTTTTTACGTGCCCTTCGTGCTAATTCCTTGCAAGAAGCTAATGAAATATCATAGGCCATTGGGCAAGAATATATAAAGCAAAGCATGCTAAGAACTGAGTTAAAATGTATCATACAACTAATACATATTAAATAAGCGATATATAAGGTCCAATTAATAATATTTATGATAATTTGATTGATTGAGGTAAAATTATAAGAACGTATATTACACCGTTAATTTGCATAAGATTAAAGATTTTTAAGTTACATGATATAATTAATTAATTTAATATACTTTTTTAAATATAATTAATATATTAATTTAATTTAAAATATTTTAATATTCTTTTATATTAAAATAACAGTTATATAACCTTATTACATAATTAAAGTTATATTTACATACATTACTTACGTATAACTTACGCATTTATATAATAAATATTTTTCCTTATTTAAAAAAATCTTTTTTTTTTACCTTAAAATAATTAATTAAAATACGATTATTATTTACATTTTTTTTATATTATTACGTAATATATAATTAATTTAACATTAATTAATGGTTAATTAATTAATTAATTATAAAATAGTAAAGAAAAAAAATAATATTATTTTTATATAATAATAAAAATTTTAAAAATTGTTAAAAAGGTAAAAGCGTTAAGTTTTATTTTTTTATAAGTAATAACGGAAAGTATTATATTATTTTAAAAGTTTTAAATATTTCCGATAAAATAAAACTTATGTTTATTACGCATTTAAAAATAATATAATAAATATTATAATAATTATAAATAATATAGTTTAATAATAGTTAAAATATGTTATAAACAATAAAAAAAGTATTAAATTTAACTTTTTTAAATTCGTTAAAACCATAAAAAATAATATTAATATATATTATGCGGAAAATTTTATAACGTATTAACATAACGTATTAAATTGGTATAGTGCCACATTGTTAAAAGCAAGGGTATTATTATGTAATCTTAAGTCATAAGCCATATAAAAGTTTAATATTTATCGTATTTTTTTAATTAAATAATTATAATCATTATTATTTAATTATGCATTTAATATAAACACATTTGTTATTTTTTTATATTTATAGCTTATAACTTTATTTTACGTATTTATCTTATATATCTTATTTAATCAATAGATTTTTATAATTTTTTTAAAATATAATGTTATTATCAGTTATTTAAAGCTTTTTACGAAGATTTAAACATTAAAATAATATGTTATACTTTGTAAAAAATACCAACTTTTATTTAATATATTAAATTAATATAATGCTATATTATTAAAAGTAAAAGTATTATTATATAATTTTAAATCATAAGTTATATAAAGGTTTAATATTTATCGTATTTTTTTAATTAAATAACTACGATTATTATTATTTAATTATACATTTAATATAAATATATTCGTTATTTTTTTATATTTATAACATATAATTTTATTTTATACATTTATTTTATATTAAATAAAAATTAATATCTTTTATAAAGTATAATATATTATTTTAACGTTTAAATCCTCGTAAAAAGCTTTAAACAATTAATAATAACATTATATTTTAAAAAAACTATAAAGATTTATTAATCGGATAAAATATATAAAATAAATATATAAAATAAAGTTATAAGTTATAAATATAAAAAAATAACAAATATATTTATATTAAATATATAATTAAATAATAATAATTATAGCTATTTAATTAAAAAAATACAACGAATATTAAACTTTTATATAACTTATAACTTAAGATTACATAATAATGCCTTTGTTTTTAATAATGTAACATTATATTAATTTAATATATTTTATTTAATTAATAAATTTTTATAATTTCTTTAAAATATATTATTATTATTAATTATTTAAAGCTTTTTATAAGGATTTAAACGTTAAAGTAATATATTATACTTTGTAAAAAATATTAACTTTTGTTTAATATAATAAAAAATTATAAAAAATTTTTTAAAGGAATTTTCGGGAATAAAAAAAAGTATATTATTAAATTAATTAACCATGTTAAATAATTTAAAAATCTTTAATCTCATGTAAAATAACGGTGTAATATGCGTTTTTATAACTTTATTTTAATTAATTAAATTATTAAAAATATAATAAATTAAATTTTATATAATGTTTTTTTAATATGTATTAATTATGTAATAATTAAAAGTTTTATATATTTAAATTATATTAAATAAAACTTAAACGTTTTAGCCTTAGATCAAGCTTTATTAAACTTAATATCAAGGATTTTTAAATGATGAAATTGATGATAAAGGAATGACTTGTATTAAAAGTGGATGATATTATATAAAATGGGTGTATGTAATTATAAATGGTATTTATATTAAAAATATAATTATATGATTAAGATTAAAGTTATTTGATATACTAACACCAGTTTATAATCTTCTTTCGAATTTTATCAAGGCTATAAAATCAAATTCGACTTACGAAATAAAGGTTAAGACTTGAAAAAAAGGAAATAAAATAATACGAGTGGGGATCGAATCTTAAGCCTTAAAAAAAAAATTCGCATTGCTTGGGTTATTAAGACTATTAAAGCTATTGAGGCTTTTAATTATTAACCTTATGGTATAGCTTTTTTAATATTTTAAGTATTATTAAGTTTTAAATCGTATTTTAAATAAATTTATATGCCGTATAATTTAATTAACTTAATTAAAATCTATTAATTAAATATTTTATATTATTAAATTATGTTCTTTAGTTATATAAAATCGTATAATAACGGATTCGATCGTGATATTTATTATTAAATTAAATATATATAAGGATTATGGTATAAAGATTGTTATATAAAGATTATATAAAGGATTATCGTATGGTTTTACTTTTTTTGCAATAAATTTAATTGATTTTATTCTTTTTTTTATCCTGGTATTGTATAACTTTTGTAATTAAGTTATTTACTTCTTTTAATATCTTAATATTAACTTGAATAAGCTTTAATATTAACTGGGCTTTTGTTTTTTTTATAATAAACTTAGTGATTTATCGATTAACTGGTTGGCTTAACCTTTACTTCTTTTATTATTAACTTCTTATAATTAATCGTTTCGTATATTAAGTATAATATAACTTAAAAAGCATTATATATTATCTTTAAATAATTTTAAACATAACTTTAAACGTAATAATTACTAGTACTTTTACCGACTTTATTCCCGTAATCTTTTTACGTATTTAATAAAGCTACCTTTTATCTTTTAATATTTGATTAGTTAAGATGTGCCATGGCTTTTACGTATTTTAAAACTAATAACTTATAATTAAATCCTAATATAATAATGTTTTTTAAATCGTATTGTATT